TTGCGCCAGAAGTCCACTTCCATTTCTACAGTCTTTTGTGTGGTTGTTGCTGCATTAGGAGATCAGCTGCCTGACTTTCTTTCTGTAGGCAGACTCATCCCCTTGTGGTACTCCACTACTGAGGGTCCAGGGGTCTGACGTGTGTTCTGTAAGTTCCAGGACTGTCAAGATGCAGCAGCATGAAGTGCAGGGCCAAGCTGACCACATCACTAACAGACCTGTTAGCTTTGTACACAAATTTCAAGGGATCCAGCAGAGGGTTTAAATTGGCCTTCAGAAGGGCTAGGACCAGGTGGGGTGGTCACAGCTACTGGCCTTTAGTCATTTAGTCCAGTAGTTTTAACTTTCTGGGACTGGAATGATGGTAGATGTTTTGAAGCATGTGGGAACAGAGCAAAGTTCCAGTGATTTATTGAAGATGATGGTAAAAACCTTTGATCTGTTTGATCAGAGCAGTGCTTTAGGGTGGATGGAGAGCATAAAGCTGGCCCTGGAGCTTTTATCCTGTTCTGTCTGCTGAAAGCCTGTTAACGTCATGGTCATTGAGCCATAGGATAGAGCCATGATGGAGGAGGAGAGCAGGGGACTGCGAGAGAAAAGTATTTTGTGCATTCAAATTTTCTTACCTTGTAGTTGGTGATCTCTTGGAGGCCTTTCCAGACTGAAGTTGGGCCATTAGCAGGATTGTGGCTTTTCAGCTTTTCTGAGTATTTCTTCTTTGCTACTTTAACCCAATTTTCCAGCTTGTATTTGACCTCCTTTTCTCTCTAAAGCTGTCTGAGTTCAGCTGAAAATCATGGTTTATCATCAGTGTAGTAGTTGACATGCAGTAGTTGACATGCAGCTGTCGTCACATAAATTGGTGTATGGTGCACAAGTCTATACTAGGGTATTTCTTTCATTAAGTTGGCATTGTTACAGTCTCCCATAATGATGAGCAGTGACTCTGGATTCTCTCTTTCTACTTTCAATATATGATCATCCAGCAGTTTCTGGGTGTTGCTTGTGTGCATGTCCGGCAAAATATAAACAGTGACCAGGGATGGGGGAGTAGCTAAGTAGTGTGCTACTTTTTGTAGTTAACCACAAATATTTGTAGCTAGTAGCTGTAGCTGCTACAGTTTTATGAAATGTAGCTAATGGCTGTAGTGCCTACAAATTTTTGTGTAGCTATAGCAAATTTTTACTACAATTTTGCTACAGGCTTCAGACAATCTGCAAAAATCTGAACCACAGAACGCAGCCGTTAACTGGGCTGGTGGAGACTGTGTTGAGTAAACAGGCACGTGCTGATCACCCCTTACTAGAAGGCTTAGCTCAGGGGTCGCAACCAAAACGTTAAGAGGAGCCATTTTGTCCTTTCAACAAAAATTAAAGCACCTTGGGAGCCACAACACTTAATGTCCGTTTTACCATCTTGGCTGTAAATATATCTCAGTATGTGCTGATAGTTCAGGCTAAAAATATAATAAAAACACAAACGCAGACTTACTTTGCTCTGCTTTAAACTTTAGCTCAGCTGTAGCCGCTTTTCCCCGTGTCGCTGGAAACTTTTTGCGAGTTTCTTGTAAAATGTCTCTCAATGTTCGACTTTTTGCAAGGCTTCTTATTCTCCTGCTTCTCGTTCGAATTGTCCCGTCCCACCTTAACTTGTGCCTGAGGCGCCAGATTGTACTGCTGCGCCATTTAAGGTGGAACAGGATAATCGAACGATAAGCAGGAGAATGAGAAGCGACTTCAGCTTCGCGAGTTGTTGCAGATTAAACGTATCAGGAAACCAGCTGGAGTGATTATAAATGCAAATAAGTCCATTCATCTCCAAATTATCGATGTGTGTCTTCTTTCTCTCTCTTTGCTGTTTCGTTATCTGCGTGGCTGTGTGTCCAGCAGTCTGGGCGTCAGTCTTCAGCGTTAAAGGCTGGTGAATTAGCAGTTATGCATTAACTTCAGCGTTTAAGACCATTCATTGTAAAAACTCTGTTAGAACTGTGTTGTAATGATTTTTCAGTAAAGGAGGATTATTATGTTATCTTACCTAAAAATCTAGTCCTGCTGTGGAGCCGCAGCAGCTCTGCAGCAGTGGAGATATATTTTTCAGGCCTGTTGCTGAAGTTTAACGAAGAACTGAATGTCATGTCTGTTCATATCTTGCTGAAATGTTTATATTGGGGCAGTTTTATTTCAACAGTTAATGATGCTTTGCACAAAGTTGTTTGGTTTGTTTACGGTTATTTTTGTTGATTTTTGCAAGGAAAAACCTGGAATGATTGACTTTGCCTTTAGTCTAAATTTTTGTTGGATATCACGCCTTTGGTTGTGTAAGTTTGATTGTTGGTTACACTTAAACTTCATTTTTGGTGATCTTTTTGTATATTTGCAGCTTTTCAATTGTATGTTTCTTTATGACACATGATTAAATGCAGTGCGCATTGAAAGTAGCTAAAAAGTAGTCACAACTTTTCAAAAAGTAGCTAAAAAGTAGTACTTTTTCTGAAAAAGTAGCTAAATTGTAGCTAGCTACAAATTTTGGGGAAGTAGCTACACAGTAGCTAACTACTAATTTTTCAGTAGCTATTCCAACCCTGCCAGTGACCAAAATGAAAGAAGAAAACTCTCTGGGAAGGTAGATTGGTTTGCAGTTAATGAAAAGTGACTGTAGACGAGGAGTGTGTGATTTTAACAGTATCGTAACATCTTTACACCGTTCTTTACCATCTTTACATTTGTTGACATAAAAGCAGATTCCTCCTCTGGTTTTGTCAGCAAGCTCTTTGTCTCTGTCTGCCCTGTGCAGCTGTAAGCCTGGTAGGTGCATCATGCAGATCAGAAAGATGGGTCTCCATAAAGTTGAGTGCATTTGAAAAGTCTTTATTGGTTTGTTTAGAAGAATTAGTTCTGCCAATTTGTTGCACGGAGATTGCAGACTGGAGACGAATAAAAAGTGTACATAACCCAAGCCGTCTTAGCCTTACAAGCACGATTGCGTATGTGCCTCTCCACTGTCAATTCGCTAGGCTGAGCAGAGCAAGTGCACCTGTTGTGAGGATTTCTAAAACCTGAAGGAGAAATGTTGTCCCTGAATGTCAGTAACTAGGTCAATGGCCATTCTAATTGAATCCATCTAAAGCCTGTATCGTGACAATATGATTAAAAATAACAGCCTTCCTGTTTTTATCTTGATGGCTTAAGTAAGTCAAATAATTTACTTGGCTATTTGAAGTAATCCTTCTTTATCAGTTGTGCATCAATTGTATATCAAGATAATTTCTGATTCTTTTCTAACAGAAATGAAATGCAAAATGAACCACTCTAATCCGTAATGCCACCCATCTGACCTCAATAACCTTTCCTGTACTTTTGCCCACTTGGACCATCTGCCTCCTGTTTTTAAGAGAGTACAATGCAGTTTATACAGAACACTTGTGAAACGTGCTGTTAACCTGTGTGCAACATACCTGAGCTCAAGATGCATCAAATTACAGCACCACTCAGCTGTTTGCCTTTTGAGATGAACAAAAGATGCTGGAGCTCTGCTTTAGTTTACTCCAGCCTAGTTTAACCCCTGAGCTGCTGAGTGTGTCAGCACAGGCTGGAATCAGTTGAAAGAAAGAACTGAAAAGAAAGAAAGAAAATAATTTGTTTAAACATTAGTTGGACTCAAACTAGACAAAGACAAATCAAAGACAAGTCAGAGATGATAAAAACATCTAAAGTCTGTACTCAAGTACTACAGCACTACTGTTAGATCAGCACATATAACAATTTTAGTTTACATACACTGGGTGTACTGAGCATCGCAGGGATGAGTAAAACTAACCATAACAAGACACATACTCAGAAAACATAACTTGGTACTTTTCTTTTAACACTTGTACATAAAATCAGTTTTACACACCTTGCTCCGCATACCGAGCGTCCAGATTTGATTAAGTGTTGTGGATTTTCTTGTTTTGGTTCTATGTTTAGCCTTTTCTCTTAAGCTGTGATGCAACATCTCTCCATAAAACACTGACGTAATATGGCAGTTAACTTCCCAGAGAAGAACATTTCACAAAAGTGAGATGTGCAAACACAAAGAGAAAGTATAACTCAGTGAGCTTATCAACGTTAATAAAGAGAGCATTTGAAAACGACAGTAAGAAGAGGCTATACCGCTTCCTGATCATTTGTGCCTCTTTTTCTTTTCCATTTATGCATTCCAGATGCATATATTATTTTTGTTGAAGGCAGAATTGATCATTTGGTTCTTTTCTTCTTACTCATGCATGGTAGCATGGTACAGTAATAACCTAGAAGTTGTTAGGGGGCCCCCTGGTGGCCATGGGGCATTAAGCAGGTGCTTATACATAATACATAGAGCTGGCAGTGCCACCAATAAAAAAGTTCAAAAAGATAAAAAAGTGCTCAATCTCAGGTGACTGGGAGTTTCTAATTATGCTAGTATTCAGTAATTGTGTTGGAATGATACACTGGGTAAGAATTGGCTTAACTTTTATATGTATCGTTTTGTAGATGTGCTGGTTTGACAGACATTTAACATTTTTACGGGGTCCTGCAGACTGTACTGTTAAAAAGCTTTTTAGAGTTCTTATGTGTTATGTAGCTTGCTAATGGTAGTTGCAATGAATACCATTAACCTTCATGAGGTGTTTTATGTGCTTTTACTTTTAGAAAACGCCTATACCTAACAGAAAAGTCTAATGAATTTCTTTAATATGGGATTTGAGCTATATTCAAACACTTATTGGTTGATTTAAAACAATTATGATTATTTTTAAATATATTTTTAATGGACTTAATGTACTGGTTCTGTGCATAGTGTTAGAATTATCTGTACAATGTCTATAGATTGTTGTTATAAGAGGTGGATTTAGTGAATCAATAGGTTGGTGTTTTTTGTAGTGTTAGAATTATCTGTAGAGTGTAGTTTAAGTGGTGGAGTCAGTGAATCAGTAATCAGTAAGGGATGATATATTGAACAGATTTTTCCAATATTTTAGGAAATAATGGACATAAACATGAGCACATACCCAGAAGTGGAGAAACATCTTAAATCCTGCATCATGGTCAGTTCAGAAAAAATCACTGAAGACAAACTGCAGGTAAGTTCTGTGACATGAATAGGATACAGTGGGCAGATCATAATTAAGTAAAACAGGCATATACAGACCGCAGGGGGGCTGAGCACCCATTCTTTTACCCTCAGACTACCCTTTCGGCTTCAGTTCCATAAGCTTCATTGCTATTGGGCGCCTCCTCTAGTGTAGTACCAGCACCTATGGAGAGGTCATCATAGTAACTCCAGCCTATCATGGATGAACGTATCACATCAGTGCTTGGAATCACACCAACGAAGTACTAATCCAGCATCACACTGCACAATGTGTTTTTTTGAAGAACCAAACAAACGGCAGTGAGAGGCAACATATACAAATAATAAGTTGCTAAACCAGGCAGAGTTGCAACTCTGAGTCTCTGAGAGTTGAGAAGGCATAGTGGGTAACATTACAACTTTGAATACTGATAATTAAAACTCTGCTTGGGCAATAAAGCTCATGTCTTGGTTGCCTTGGGAAAACTCTCAACACCACATTTGTTTTCCTCTAAAACAGGTTTATGCTTTCTCTCTTGATCAGAACTGTTTGCAAAATTTTGTAAATGAACTTAAGTTTAATTTTACATTCATGTTGCCCTTTTTCTCATTGAATCTCTGCCACCTAGGTGCTATTCTGAGTGCTCAATGTTCCTTCATGTTCATCATAGACCACCGGTCATTAAAATCTTGAGAACGGGGCTATTTAAATACTGCACTTAAGGCTAATGTTTGGCTATATTGTAAGAATCTAAACATGCTTGGAGAATGAGCCTATAGTTTTCCTGCCAGCAACAGATAAAAAAAGTGCTCAATCTCAGGTGACTGGGAGTTTCTAATTATGCTAGTATTCAGTAATTGTGTTGGAATGATACACTGGGTAAGAATTGGCTTAACTTTTATATGTGTAATTTTGTAGATGTGCTGGTTTGACAGATGTTTAACGTTTTTACGGGGTCCTGCAGACTGTACTGTTAAAAAGCTTTTTAGAGTTCTTATGTGTTATGTAGCTTGCTAATGGTAATTACAATGGATACCATTAACCTTCATGAGGTGTTTAATGTGCTTTTACTTTTAGAAAACTATACCTAACTGAAAAGTCTAATGAATTTCTTTAATATGGGATATGAGCTATTTTCAAACACTTATTGGTTGATTTAAAACAATTATGATTATTTTAAAATATATTTTATTGGAATTATCTGTACAATGTCTATAGATTGTTGTTATAAGAGGTGGATTTAGTGAATCAATAGGTTGGTGTTGTTTGTAGTGTTAGAATTATCTGTAGAGTGTAGTTTAAGTGGTGAAATCAGTGAATCCATTGGTTTTTGTGTGTAGTATTATGGTTGTGTGTACAGTGTAGATATTAAAGGTGTAATTTTTATATTTGTCATTTCATATCTATGCTTATTGTGCTTAAGCTGAAACTGTTGCAATTCAATCTTTTCCTCAGTTTTTTATTGAAGTCTTCCAGATTGAGTTACCATCACTTTGGCAAGAAAGGTGGAAAGAAACCTTGAAGGACTTGTTCACTAAGTGTGTACAGAAGGCAAGTAATCAAGGAAAAGTAAAAAAAAATGTATTTATCTTAGCTCTTTTTTTTCAATCATAGAGGTTTATCTGATTCATTTAAGTTTCTGACGTTTAAGGGAAAGGGTCTTTGAATTTCAGGCTCTGGAGTCCATAGTTGTAATTAAAATTGTGTACATCCCTTTTAGATTGTTTTATTAGATTCTTATTTTTTAGACATTCTATTGAATATTCTTTGTATATTCTTGTAGTTCCTGCAAATAATTGTTTATATGTAATATTTAGAGGTAAAGGTTGTTGGGAAAGAGAAACATGCAAGAACTTTGTGGGACAACACATAAACTGAAAATGACATTTGGAATGTAGTTTGTGGGTTATAATTTTTTGTTTTGAATAGCAGATTATAAATATTCTACTTCTTACTATCCATATGCTCAACACGCACATTGCCATGAATTTTTCGATTTGAACAGATGGAGCCAAAACAAAAGATGGAATACTTCTGTAGGTACACTGAGACCAACTTTACAGTTGAAGAATGCCTAATGAAATGTGCTCTAGAGACTGTCAAGAACAAAGTGAGTTGTTTGTTTTGTTTTCTGTTTGCATAAATAAATTACACATTTTTCTAGCGTACACTGTAACTACTGAATAAATAACATTTACCGGAAAGAACTCATGCTGTGCTTTTTTGTTTTAAAGGTTGGACATCTTGACATGATCATGAAAAGCAAGAAGTATCCACAGTTCATATCCACTCTCATCAGGGACATCTGGAAAGACTTAAAAGATGAAGCCAAAGACTTGGAATACCTTATCACAAACCCACATTCTTTAGAACTTCTCAGGGTTCTTGGTAATTTAGAAATATCTGACCTATCCAAGTTCTGGGTGCAAATACATTCTTTGTGTAGACGAATACATGACTACCATTATAAAGTTGGCCAAGCTTTACAGAATATTAATGCTAAAATTTGTAGTGCCTAGCTCAGTTTTTGTCAGTGCATTCAATGATATTTACTTTTATGCATCAGAAAGGTTAGATATCATGTTATTTTGCGATTAGCCTGTATATCTTTACATAGAACAAAGTGTGGTCTAAATAACAAACAATAACCTCTTTTGCTATATGAGTGAACATCACAATAATGATTTGTTCATTTTATTGCAATTGTCATATATTCATAAGATGAATGAACTGTCTTATGAAGATTCACACAAAATGTTTTAAAATTGAGATTTTGAATCAAACCATCTTTGTTAGCTCTGCTGTTGTCAGCTAGCAACACTGTTAGTCTAAGCTATTTTGTGGTTTTTGGCAAAATGCTCGGCTGTCTAGTTTTTCTGAATGTTTATTTATAAGGCTGATGATCAAGACTATTTGATAATGTGACTCGTCCCCTTGTTGAAGATCTTATTTCCTCCAAAAAAAACTCTTCTTAGCAATTACCAGCAACATTCAACATATCAGTCATGATACTAACACCCGTCAGCACAATATTTGCAATAATGCAATTATAACCTTTCATTTAAATAAATAGTAAGAAAATCCTGAAAGTGATTTGTGCGCTATGCTTACTCAGTATTTTAAATATGATGTTTTGGCCATGTTTTTTAGAAAAACAATCCTGTGCATTTTGCGTGGAATGCCAACAAGATTTGATTATGGAACCTTTGTTATATATGACCTATGACTGTTCCTTCTGTATCTTGCAGGTACACTTCAAAGGGAAAAGCCCAGCTACAGGGATGAACTCACAGCACAAGCCAAGATGTTGTTAACAAATATACAAAATCTGTTGTCAAAATTACATCAGAATCTATATGAACTACCATCCAAATTGACACTGGATCTTTTGAAAAATGAGCATTTAACTGACATCCTCCAATTACATTTAGGTAGAGGCAAATTACTATTATTATTTCAAATTTTACAACAAATAATTCAGTGTAAGATGTCATTATGATTGCTGTTCTTGTTTTCTCAAATTAGAGGACAAAACTGTCTTAAGACCTCTCTTGGAAAAATTAAGAAATGACGTCGAGAAATTTGAACATATACAGGAACAAAGTAAAGCACTGCTCCAACTGCTTGAACTTACTCAAGAGACATCTGGTAAGATGTGCTGAATAATGACTTTTTTGCTCTTCTTCTTGCTTTTTTCTGCTCTCATGATATGCTTTTTTCCTTTCTTTTCAGCAGTCATCACACAGCAAATAAGAGAGAACATATCACACATAATTTTTTTGTCTAATGAGAGTCGTTCACTGAATCAACTTGACCAACTCTGGAAGGGTATTGATATCATGATGTACGAAAACATCAAAACTGCTTCCAAGAGTAGATTTTTCAAAAAACACTGGAAGTCAGCAAGTGAAAAAGACAGGCAGTCTCATAATGTTGTGGCCATGTCTTTATGTGATCTACATGAAAGAGTATTCAAGCCTGCATTAGCAGATTTCATCAAGTCCTGTGAGGAGATTAAAGATCTGTCTATGCATGTGGATGAGTTTGAAACTGTTCTTGCCGACTGCCATGAGAACCAGATTGAAGAAGAGCTGAGAGTGATGCAAGAATATCTGAGTGACAAGACCGAAAGTAAATGGATTAAGGATGTCTGTGACTGTATTAAACGTTACAGGGAGCTGTGTAGTGTGGTAAAACAGGCACAGGGAATATACTCTTTAAAAGAAGAACTCAGCCTTAAAGGAGATTTTCATGTTCTTTGTGATATCCAAGTAAGTGTTTTTCAAGATTTTAAAAGATCACTCAATATGATGAACACACACACACACACACACACACACACACTATCCATGACGCTTTTCCTTCTGGGTCGAGGTGGGTGCTGGAGCCTATCCTAGTGGTCAACAGGCGGGCGGCAGGAAACATTATGAACAGGTCGCCAGTCCATTGCAGAGCAAACACACAGACAAATACACTCACACTCACACCTAGAGGTAATTTAGCATGTCCAAACAGCCTGACTGCATGTATTTTGACTGTGGGAGGAAACCCTTGCAGACACAGGGAGAATATACAACCTGGTACTTTAACTCATCAGATACAGGCTATTGTGGCAGATAATGCTACTGAAAACCTTCACTGTAGCAGCTGAAGTTACTGTTAGCTGCAGATGCTAACGCTAGTGGCTAATGCTACTGTTAAAGGCTAATGCCATCACTGGTGGCTGATAATAAACTCAGCGAACTCACTGTTGCCTCATTTCTCTCAGGAGGTTGCTTTACATGTTCGCTACACTCTAATAAACTGGCTTCCCAGTGCCCCACTCAGCTAGCATGTACTGCTGGGCCAGTGATCCTGGCCTCTGCAACTGACCGAGGCTGCATCCCTGGCCTCTGCGACTGACCCTGGCTGCATCCCTGGCTGTCGCCCTGACCCCAGCTCCATCCCTGGCCGCCACCTGCATCCTGTCGCTCCTGTTACCATTGCTCTCGGACTCCCGGATACGGATGGCTGTAGCATCACCAGGGATCGAACTCGCGATCTCCTGATGATAGGGCCAACGCTTAGATGGTTGCGCCACCCGGGAGCCCCCACAATTACTATTTCTCCCCTATTTTATAAGTTAATCAAATATGAAATAACAGTGTAGACAAATTTTTAAAACAGTTTGCTGCAGAGGTTGTATTAATTTCTTTTCCCTCAAATATAATAAAATATTTAATTTGTACCCAAATTTTGCATAGAACTGCAGTATAGTGTGTCACCTTAATTTGAAAATGTGGGCGGAGCAAGGAATGATGCTATATCCTGTACACCTCTCGATGCTCTTACCACTGTCTTTACATTTGTATATTCATGTATTTATTACTTATAATGTGAATGACACAATATGTTCCACCCTTTACAGCAGAAAGATGTTCTGAAAACCAAATGTCTGAAGGATTTCACTGAAGAGATGGGGCTAATTGGCCAAACACTGAGAGACATCGATGACCGTGTTCTTTGCCTGATAGAAGAATTTAAAGATTGTGCAAGAAAAAATTTCATCAAGTGGATCAAATCTATTTTAAAAGGTGACATAATATTATTCTAATATTTTACAATAGTGCCTTAATACTATAGACTTTAAAGCTGTCAAGCTCTTAAAGAGAATTTCTACCAATTTTTCAAATTATCAGCATAATTCAATCTCTGAGATGTAAACAAAGTCATTCAGAGTGGTTTGATGTTAAATGGTTCATTGTTGAGAAACCTACTGATTCTGATTTCTTTACAGTGGCACTGATAGGAACCAGGAGTCATGAAATCTACAACACAAATGTAGCCATTTTATTTACTTTCCAAAACCACCAGTGAACCTACATGTTTATTTTTTATATACATGATATTGTTAAAATAGTGGCAAATCTGAACAAAACAATCTGAGAAAAATGTACCTCTTCACCATGGATTCTAAAAATTTCTTTCAGGCCAAATTTTCTCAAAACTTTGTAAAAAATGTATCAGGCAGCGTATTTGTAACCATTTTGTGTAACTTTCCGTGAGGGAGCTTTTAGAGGCTTTAAACTGTTCAGACATCTGGTTTCTCTAGAATAGGGCATTTCACATCAAAACCACTCTAAATGATTTTCTTTACATCTTAATGATTTAATTGTGCAAAAATTTTTAATTTTTAAAAAATTGGTGATCAGCATTTTCCATAATTAATGAACTTACAGTTTCAGATTTGGCCAAAAGATATGCCCTGGCTTCTTGAATCATACAAAACTGATGCACAGCAAAGAACAGCTTCAGTCTGTGGCCTAAGCATACAGCAGCATAGAGGATAAGAACTTGCTGGAGAGTTAGAAATATATTAGCTCCATTATGTTGTTTTTTTTTCTAATATGTTTGTAACTTTTTTTTATTAGTAAGATGTGCTCGATCAGCAGTTTTTAATTTTATAGTATATTTTCTAAATTTTGCAACTTTCACAGACCCTTGAATTCCAGCTGGGCTGCAGTTGTTTTGTCCTTCTAGACATTTCTTTGTGACTTTTCAATGAAAAAAAAAAAAACAAGGAGTCTACTGGAAGACAATGCACCCACACTGGCTACTCCAGTGTGCTCCCAGGACTCCCTCAGCTCCCAGCCAGTGGACCTGCTCACAAGCAGATGTGCCTGCATTCTCCACCAGTTGTGGTGTCAGCTTGGGGAACACAGGAACATCCTAGGAACACACTCAGAGGCCAAATGTGGGTGCAAAGCTTAGATTTTATTTAAACATGAGGAACAAAACTAAAACCTAAACTGAAAATCCAGCCCGCTAAGACTACAACTTGAGTTTACTCAGAGTACTCACCTCCCAGCATTCTCTCTCCAAAGTCCTCTCCTTCTGGCTTGGACAGCCTCAGTTTTTAAAGTGTCCTGGTTCCTCCCTAAATCAGTCAGTAAAACTTTATTTGAAGGGTGTCTACATAACGCATTCATATCACGTTACATAAACACTTCATAACATGTTCATGTATGCTTAAATCAACATTCATAAATTATACATGTTTTACATGATATTAATATGGACTACAATATCAATTTACCAATTTTTAAAAAAAAATTTTCTCAAGCATTTGTATTTTGCAATATGCTATTCTTTCTCCTTTTTACTCTAATTCCTCTTTAAAAATGTACTGTTAAATCAACACTCTACACATAGTTGTAGAAAATGTTACTTAAACTAAGTTTAACTCTCTTGGGGTAAATGCTAACACTGTTATCCCAATTACTTTGGAGGTTTTATTTTTAGTGATGTTCTTCCTCACTTACGGTTTTGGAGAAGGCACAAGTATAACTGTGCTTTAGTTATCCTGTGTAACTGAGGTTAAATGTGACAAGCACTGTTATCACAAGGAATGATTCCTTTTTTTGCATTACTTCAAAGTACAATCGAGTGGTGGCTCTTTGACTTTCCTCACTCAGGGTGCTGGTAATTTTGTAAGAAATGTCCTTTATAAATTTGCCCTGCTTTGCCTTCACCATAAAAGTGATGGAAGCCATGTTATCCTCACTAAAGTACATGTTACATGAATGGATGGATCTTGAATGGAATGGATAAGTATTATGGGCCTGTTCCACCACCACACAAAGTTTGAGACTTTAAGATGATTGACTGTTCATAGCATATTTATGAGTAACTCACTGTCCATATAATAAAGTGACACGCAAGACAACATTCATAAGTGATTCATAGCATTTTTAAGAGATGTTTACAGACCATGTGTATAAATAGTGATAGTGATTTACAATTAAATATCTACAATTATTTTCCCTACATTTGCAGCAAGACCCAATGACTGTGAAAAGGAGTCAATAAACACCACAAGTAGGAAGGTCCTTTTTTTTACATGGAACTGCAAAATACAGATGTGTTCAATAAAATCTTAAGTTCTTTTCTAAAACGAAAATAAAAACACCACCTCATGTGGCCATTACTTAAAGGGTATTGCCTTCACTTTTTTCCTTTTCTTCTTAGACTGAAATTGTTTTAAATGTTAAATGTGTGGAACTCTACACGTACAGGATAAGCCTATTTATACTGAAAGTGCATGAACGTTATGTTAGTGGGCTAGATTGTCAAAGCAGAGGTATGATCGTACAGCAGTTAAATTAGCTACTTTGCTTATTATCAGTAACTGTAGCCAAGAAACTTTGCTTACTAGCTAGCAGGCTAAGGCTACCTTACATTAGCTATTAAAATGCATCAAGCTAATGTTAACGTCACCTAGTTAGCTAAGTTTCATCATTCAGTTAAGCCCCAAAGATTAATAGACCTTATGCGGCTCTTGTTAACAACATTCTTTTTTTGTCGAACTTAAAATAACTGATACTGATTTAACTTAGCTTACTGTTTTGTAACTGTGCCAGTCAAGTTGAAGTAGTTAGTAGGCCTCTATGAGCATTTCTTATGACGCACAGCAGTGCGATGTGGAGTGATACATGAAACAAGCTAGTCCCAAACGCAAGGTCCACTTAAAACACTCGCTAATGTTTGGCTAGTGACATGGTCTATGCTCAACAAAAATCATTTTACTATCCTGGCTGTAATGTGTCTCAGTATGCGCTAATGTGCTAATATAGGCTAAAAGTATATAAACGGAAAGACTTACTTTGCTCTGCTTTAACCTTTAGCTCAGCTATAGCCGCATTTCTCGCATCTCCACCACAAAACTTTCCCCAAAAGTGAAATAATCTTGTAAAAAAGTAAAATAATTCTTGTAAAATGTCTCTCAGTTCTTTACGAGGCTGAAGTCGCTTCCCGTTCGCCAGCTTCTTGTTTTTTACCCGTTCCACCTTAAATGGTGCCTGAGCTGCCAGAATGTAACTGCTGCAGCATTTAAGGTGGAACAGGTAAATTCGAAAAACAAGCTGGCGAACGAGAAGCTGATTTCAGCCTCGCGACTTTTCAGTATTTGATAGTTTCTCATTACAGATTAAATATATCGGGAAACCAACTGGAGTGATAATGAATTCAAATAAGTCCATTCGTATCCAAATGATCGATGTTCATCTTAGATCTTTCCCTTCACTTTTTTGTTAGCTAACTTACTAGCTAGCTGGGCAAGACTGTTGACTGTCCTGCTGTGACCAGTCTGCACGCCTGCAGGGTTAAAGGGTAAATTAGCAGATATAGGCTATAGTAACTCCAGTGTTTAAGACCGTTTATTGTTGAAACTGTGTTGAACGATCAGCAGAGCTTTATTTTACCGTAAAGGAGGATTATTTTATTTTTGCCTATTTTGCAGTTCCAAGACACAAGTACAAGAGTTTGTAGTTTCCTGATTTTAGTTTGAGCAGCATGTTTAAGTGCCTGTTCTGAACAGTAGTCTTGCCAATAAAAAAAGGACTTTCCTACTTGTGGTGTTTATTGACTCCTTTTCACTGTCATTGGGTCTTGCTGCAAAGGTAGGGAACATAACTGTAAATATTTAATTGTAAATCACTATCACTATTTATACACATGGTCTGTAAACATCTCTTAAAAATGCTATGAATCACTTATGAATGTTGTCTTGCGTGTCACTTTATTATATGGACAGTGAGTTACTCATAAATATGCTATGAACAGTCAATCATCTTAAAGTCTCAAACTTTGTGTGGTGGTGGAACAGGCCCATAATACTTATCCATTCCATTCAAGATCCATCCATTCATGTAACATGTACTTTAGTGAGGATAACGTGGCTTCCATCACTTTTATGGTGAAGACAAAGCAGGGCAAATTTATAAAGGACATTTGTTACAAAATTATCAGCACCCTGAGTGAGGAAAGTCAAAGAGTCACCACTCAATTGTACTTTGAAGTAATGCCAAAAAAGGAATCATTCCTTGTGATAACAGTGCTTGTCACATTTAACCTCAGTTACACAGGATAACTAATGCACAGTTATACTTGTGCCTTCTCCAAAACCGTAAGTGAGGAAGAACATCACTAAAAATAAAACCTCCAAAGTAATTGGGATAACAGTGTTAGCATTTACCCCAAGAGAGTTAAACTTAGTTTAAATAACATTTTCCACAACTATGTATAGAGTGTTGAATGAACAGTACATTTTATATATGAATAGAGTAAAAAGCAGAAAGAATAGCATATTGCAAAATACAAATGCTTGAGAAAAAAAAATTAAAAAAAGTTGAAAGTCTAGGCAAAAAGTATCAAAACACTTTCTGTCCAAAGGGATAAAGCCAGGTCATTTTTATGCTGGCAGTCCAGAAATGAGGAGTTTCACTGAAAATAATAAAGTTATTCAAAATAAAAAATGAGGACTTTTATTTTGAAAAACATCTTTCAGTAAAATGACATAGTAGTCCATATTAATATCATGTAAAACATGTATAGTTTACGAATGTTGATTTAAGCATTCATGAACATGTTATGAAGTGTTTATGTAAGGTGATATGAATGCGTTATGTAGACACCCTTCAAAGAAAGTGTTACCAATCAGTCCCACTTGTCTGTAATCAGGGGAGGAGCCTTGTGCACATGGCCTGGGGCTCAAGCAGCAGCTCCACCTCCAACTGCCACACTAGCCTGTTAAAAGTAATAACAACCAGTGAATTTGCTCAAATTAGCTGGCTGCTACTTACACTAACCCTAAAGTGCACTCTGTTTTAATTGGTTCACCAGCATTACATAATAAGAGCAGTCTTATAAATATGATTTTAGTACAGGATCATTAACTACAAAATTTTACATCTGCATCAAATAAACTTGCACAACCAAAGACCAGAGTATCCACAAAAGCTTAACTGATGCATAATCGATGTCCAGTGTGGTTGGGTTGCCAGGTTCAGTGTTTTCAAGCCAAATTAAGTAATTAAGGCAATGGTAACATTTTGTTTTGGTTTACTTTTATTTGCTTTTAATCTCAGTTGTCGCACATGGGTCTGTGAACTCAGGCGTGTGCACAGGGAAAAAAGGACAGCACAAATGCGAATTAAACTGAATTTAATTTATATCATATGGCACTTTTATCAAGTGAGAATGTCTAATTTGAAGAAACTAACCTTTCTTCATAAAAACAGCCCTGCAGCTGCTTCCCATAACTTTGTCCTTACAGCTGATTTTACTCCAACAGAACCAAAAGAACCAACTGTCTTTAAACATGTGTAACTTTTCTCTGCGTATACAGTAATGGCTTCAATTCAGCCTCAGTAACTTTAAAATTAAACTTTTAAAATGATCAAAGAGCTCTAACTACAGGTATCAGAGCATTTATCTTCAGGTGACTAAGCTGATTATGGTTCTCGTAATAGATGGGCATCATAGTTAGGTTTGGTATCATTATATGCAAATACCATTTAAACGTTTGCCAGCATTTGTGTTAATATTTTTAAAATTCTTTTATTCACTTATAACTTATGCAATGTAGATTTAGATGTTAAATGTAAAAAAATAGACATCAAAGGATATTCAACATTGTTTATTTAACATTTATCAGATAAAAAAAGTAAATATTTAAGATAAATAAAATTAATTTAAAATAAATAACACCTGCTCTAATTACTGTTGAAAAAAAATTAATTGTTTATTTTGAATTATGGCATTGTCAAGTTGGCAATTTATTTGATCATAATTTCATTCTGAATATTAATTTTATTATAACAACATTCTTGATTATTCATTTTAGTATCATCTACAGGTGATTTATTTTATGTGAAGTTGTACAGTACTGGCATCATATTAGCATCATTGTAGCTGCAATGTAATTTGTGTTGTATTAGAGAAAATGTATCAGTGTATGAAAAACTGAAAATAGCTAATGCACATTATTCCACTGTCTAAAGTAATTTCTTATTCCTTCTTTAGACCAAAGAGAGCTCAATGTCTTTGTAGAACTTGCCTCAGCATTTGCTGGTGAAAATCCAATGGACCTTGACAAAGTAAGATACTTCAGGGATGCTGTTTTTGCATGCACTCCTTTAATTTTTGAGCTTGAAGAAGGAGCTGATTTTGACAACCTAATGGATAAAATCCAAAAGCTCAAGGAACCAGTCCAGAATGACTGTGATCTTCAACAAAAACTGGTAAATTGTTTAACCCCTTTTTGCAGCAATTAAAGCTTTTTTTGGCTTTAAGCTACTCACCTCATTAAGTAACACTGTTCATAAAATGGTACCGTTGCATTTTGAATTGAAAAGAGGAAAATGCTTTTGTTATGAAATTGAATGTATAGGAATATACAGTATTTGATCAGATGAATGTCATCATAAATAAGTTGTTCAATACCTAACTGGCAATACCTAACTGGCAATACCTAACTGGCAAGCCAGTTTAGCACCCGGATTCTTTTAATACAAAGCAATGCTGTTGTAACACATGCAGAATGTCGTCTTGCTGAAATAAACAAGGCCTTCCCCAGTGTCCATGATTTCCAAAAAGAATTTTAAATGTTGATTTGTCGGACCACAGAACACTTTTCCCCTTCCCCTTAGTCCATTTTAAATGAGCTCGGGCCCAGAGAAGGTGGCAGCATTTCTGGATCCTGTTTATGTACAGTTTCTTCTTTGCATTTTAGAATTTTAACTTGCATTTGTGGATGCAGTGATGAACTGTGTTCACAGACAGTGGTTTTCAGAAGTGTTTCTGAGCCCATGCAGTGACTACAGGATCATGTCTGATTTTAATGTCCCTTACATACAGAGATTTCTCCAGATTCTCTGAATCTTTTAATGTTATTATGTACCGTAGATGATGAAAAAAGTCCTTTGCTATTTTACATTGAGAAACATTATTATTGAATTGTTTCACTATTTGATGGTGCAGTCTTTCACAGAGTGGTGAACCCCTCCTCATCTTTACTTCTGAGATGCTCTTTGTATACCCAATCATATTACTGACCATTTGCCGATTAACCACCAGGTATTTTTTTAGCATTACACAACTTTACCAGCCTTTTGTCCCAAATTGCCCCCCGTCCCAATTTTTTTGGAACGTGTTGTTAGTACCAAATTAAAAAATAAGCAAGTATTTTTCATAAAACAATAAAATTTCTCAGTTTCAACATTTCCTTTGTTGTCTTTGTACTATTTTCAATGAAATATAGGGTTTTAATGATTAGCACGTCATTGCATTTTGTTTTTATTTACATTTTGCACAGCGTCCCAACTTTTTTGGAAATGGGGTTGTACTTTGCACATCTGTCAGCTTTGTCCATTTAACACATTGTCCTTCCTTTTGTAATACTAGAAAGATTCGTGCACGCACAAGGAATGGCTGGAGACAGCTTATACTGCTCATGGATCAGTTGCAAAATCATCTTTCCTACAGGCTGATGAAATCAACAAGTGTGGAGTCTATTATATCAGGCAACCATCCTCACAAAGCCTTGTGAGTACTGACATTTTTATGTAGGTCATGTACATATTGTTTATTATTTGCCTTGAACCAAATTAACAGGGTATTTTGGCCAGTTTCCTCACTGCCTCAGGTTCTCAGTTCTTTCAAAATGATATTGACAAATTTCATGACATAACCTGGTATTTGAGTTCTCTCTCATACACACACACACACACACACACACACACACAATTTATGAACTCAAAACTCCATGGGGGCTATTGTTACGCCAGTACATGTGCAGTTTAGTGGTGTAATTCTGGTGATACTTCACTCATTTGGCTAGGCACAAACTCTTTTTCCTGTTTTTACTCTCATTCTAGTTTGGTACACAGATGTATTGATATTTTGTTGGATGTAAACTCTTTATTTAACATGATTTAAATATAAATACAGGCTTTGAAGTGATGGTGCACTGGGGGGTCTCAGAAATCTCATAATCTGACCAAATTAAAACTAACAAAGTTATCTAACTAGCTCTAACATTTAACAGGTTAGCTAGCTGTCTTGGCAACAGTAGCTACTTAAGTTAGTAAGTTAAAAAAAGCATCTTCTTGTCCAACACTCTCTCCAAGGTACCTTGCAAGGCACTAATGCAGACAATTCTCTCTTGTAGTCCCAGGGATGATAAAATAATGTATGTTAACTCACAAGCAAAAGGTCACAACATGAAAGAGAAAAACAGAGTCAAAAAGGAGTCAGGCTAAAATCGCAAAGGAAAAAATGAACAAGAAAACAAACCAGGAAGTCAAACACTGGAACAAAAGGCTCGGTAATGCACAGGGGACTGATACAATACTTCACAAGGAGGCTATGAAAACAAACAGGTGATATGGGCTCATGAACAGGAGACAAGAGTCAATAATCAGGTGAACTGGAGCGTGGATAGGTAGATGGCTGAGATTCTGTGGTCATGTAATTCCCCAGAGGATTATGGGAGTTGGAGTTCTGGACAGAATGAGGGGCGTTAGTCTCTGCTGAGCTGACGGGAGGCGTGACAGTGGTATTTTTAAACCATGCACTAGCTAAAAGGGGAACTCCACTAATTTTGCAAAATTACTTAATCATTGAATGGTTTAGATGCAAACAAAATCATTCAGAGTGATTTGGTGTAAAATGTGCCTTTCCAGAGAAATTTACAGTCAGAATTGTCCACCAGTATAGTACTAGGAACCAGACATCCGACACATTTAATGGCTCTAAAAGCTACATACCATTAAGTTATTAATATAAAGTGCTTTTGTAGTTACTAACCTGTAGCCACAGCTGTTCAACACAGCTAATGCCGGTGTTGTATCTGAATCAGTTCCCCTTCAAATTCACGTTACCTTTGACAATTTAGGTCCTCTGGCGCAGCACATTCACTGAACAGATTGAACAGCTGCATGTTTTCACTCAATATAAATTCACCCAAGATAACATGGCATAATTAAGATCCTGTGATAAATATTATTTTCAGTTTGATTTAACAGTAAATACTCATACTGATAAATACTTTTTGTACTGTTCGTCACAGATTGGGTGAATACAGCTGCTGTACAAACCTATTTTGAACCTTTTCGCTTTCCGTAGTTCCAGTGTTGCTTGGCGTTGTTACCTGTAAAGTGAATGCACGTGCCTGAGGACCTGATTTGTCAAAGGGAAAGTAAATTTGAGGGGGAACTGAATCAGATACAACATCTGCAGCAGATTTTTCCTTGTAAGGAAAAAATAGTACCCAAAATGTATCTTTTTGAATTTAGCACTATTTTACCATTATCAGTGTGACATATAAAACGTTTAAGACAAACGTAGGTTCACTGGTCATTTTAGGTAGCAGATAAAATAGTGATATTTGTAGTGTAGACATATGGACGTCTGGTTCCTAGGACTATAATTGTGAACTATTTTGACTCAATTTCTCTAGAAAGGCACATTTCTCACCAAACCACTCTGAATAATTTTGTTTACATCTAAACGGTTAAATGATTAAGTAATTTTGCAAAATCAGGTCTTTAAATATGGACTGTTGAAGCTTGTAACAGAAGTTCAAGTAAATATTTTCTATGTCTCAGTTTGATATTATGTCTCTCAGGAAAGGTTTAAACTTAAAGTCTGTCTCAGCATGAACAACCACCCAAGTAACTGTCTCAGACCCAAATGATTTCTGATGCCCATTAGAATTAATATAATAAAACCTGAACATAATTCTAATTTACAGTGAGTCAGCACAAGGAATAAAGTAATGATTTAACTTGGGCTTGCTAGCAGGCCCAAAGTTTTATTATGCAATTCTATAACCTAAGAATAGCTCCATATTTTGCACTGTAGTACCTGTAGTTACTGAAAAATAACCTTAGTATGAAATATACCTGGAATCCAAAGAGGTTATACATTACATATTTAGTTTCAGTTCTTTGACATACATATTATTCCCAAGGGCTTGGAGATTTTAAGTGAACCTTTATATTTCTTTTGGTTGGCAATGACTTTTGACTTGCAACACTCACATTTTTGCCATCTCTTTCTAATGGCGAAAACATGAGCACTGACCTTATCTGAGGTGAGCGATGCCTGCAGTTCCTTAGATATTTGTCTGTGTTCTTTTGTGTTCTTTTGTCATCACTGGTGTGCATATTGGGCATTACACATCATTAAGGGAAACATGATTTGAGTGATGTATCAAACATGATTAGAATGATGTACTGAGATATTAAAGGAGAATTTAATTTCTTTAGCCAAGAAAGGTGAGAAAATGTACATTTCAACAGAACAAAAAGACAGGCTTCTCACTGGAAATTTATGGAGAATTTAGAATTTACAAGTCCAGCAAACGACTCCTTGTAGATTTGAAAAATTGAAGACAGTTGTATGTGTATAATATTATGTAAAATGCATAAGAGCTGTTGAAGGTAGGATGCATGGACCCCCATGCAAAAAAAATCAAAATCAAAATCAAAGACCAAAGAACACTAAAACAGGAGTTACTCGTTCACAAAACTACACTAGAAACACCTGGAAAGGAACAATAACAATAAAAACATTAACAAGACATGGCTAGGAGATGAGAGGGGGCAGAGACAAGACAGGGAACTGGACAAGCAAAGGGACAGGGCTTGGGACCAGGACAGAAACTGGAACTGTGACATAAAGTATAAATTGAGACAGAAACAAAAAATAGTGACAGGGATGAGTACCGAAAAGATGACAAGAAGAGATGCAATGTTGGAAGACAAGACAAACACAGATAATGGGAGAAAAAAAAACCAGAAGACTGAGGATCTTCCATTTAGTCTTAAAAAATACCACTTTGTCATACTTTTCTTATGTTTTTAAGATAATTTGCTGAAGGTAAATTTTATATGCCCTCTCTAAATCACTAGTTGAAAAACAGGCCATTACAACAACTTCCCTGTTAAGTGGGACTTCCATTGTTGTACGGTGACACTAGGCTTAGGGAGTGGAAGATAACATGTGCTTCCCCCTCTTTGACTGCCAGCTGCAGATGGCTATGGTGTTGAGCAGATTTGGTCTCATAATTTCCTGATGACGGGGAAAAGGCTTAACGTTTTGGACCACTCTGGTGCTCCTATTTATAAGCCTTCTTTTTTTTAAATATGTGGGCCAAATTTGGTTCACCTGCAGTTTGCCTGTGTCAACAGTAGGCAGCACTGCCATATTTCTGCCCGAAATGGCCCAGATCTGTTTTGGCACATGTAGGCCAGATAAGCTTTATTAATGTGGGCTACTTCTGGCTCACATGCAGTTTGCTGGTGCCGACCATGAGCCAGCAGTGCCATATCTTTGCCAGGAGTAGCCCACATCTGCATGCACATCTGGGTTGAAGATATTCTGCTGTCCTCCCTATTTATTCCTTGTTTAAATAACACTTTTAGACATAATTGTTGCATTTGCAACAAGTCATCATACCCTCTTCATGCTCTTTATTGAATATTTTGCACAACACTTCAACACTTGCACTTCTTGAGACATTTGACATCATATTTTATAACATATTTTAGGTTCCCTATGTGCAGGCATGCTCGTAAGCATTTTCAAGTCAGTGGACAGGATATTTTTTTCAATGTGAAGGGAGGGTAGGAAAAAATATTGATTCAACCTTACAGAATCATGTTTTTTTGTGGTAAAATACCACACACCCAATTCTACTGACAATACAGCTCATTAAAGTCTGGGAGCAATACCTGTGCTAATTATGACATAAAATAGCACCTAAAAACAGATTACAGACACTGTACTTTTCAGGATTATCAAAGTTAATTCAAGGAGTGATTTAAATATACATGTTTTTAATTTCACTTTCAAACTTGCATTCCAGATGAAAATGGAAGACTGCATATATCTAGAAATAAAAGAGAAGACATTCAGACTCTCTCAACTTCAAGATCTTCAAAACAAACTCATGCTGATCTCTGCAACTGATCGAAAAGGACGCAACAAAACAGTTTCTCAATTTGTGGAAGTAAGAGCTTAGTTTTACATTTAAGCTCATGTCAATGTTCAACGAACATGCTTATTTACAAAAAATATTGTTATGCATTTCCTCTCACCTCAGGTTTTGGAGCAGGTACTCCATGCTGGACAGTTGCTGATTAAGCTCAGAGAAGCAGGCCACATTCTGTTTGCAAATTGGTCTCTTACTGGCTTTTGTGAAGGGAGTCGCCGAGTGTCTGTGCATGTTGACTTTGGTATCGCTGGATTGATGATCAGTGGAAATCAAAGCCTACTGGTAGAGTTAAAGGGCATTTGTAAAAGTATGCAGGACTGTTTGGAGAAGTGGGTAAACTACACCACACAACACAGAGATGAATATTACTATCTGAATTATTTCACTGCCAAACAGCTTTCAAGACTGTGTTGTTGTATGGCTGACATGCAGAAGAGTGAACAGGTCTCTTCTAGTATACTCAATATGTTGTCTTTCATAAAAGACAACGTAACCACGACTGATTTGCTGAATGCCTTTAAAGCAGCACTCCAAAGCCCAGTTCAGAATAGAGACAGCTTGGATCTGCAGTCACCTCAGGTTAAGGATTACCTAGTTCATTTTCCAGAACTTATTGAATATGCTGTGGACGCTGGGTACTCAGAGGCATCTGCTAAAGCAGCAGTGATGTTCTGCAAAAGTTCTGGCGCTGGATCAGAAAATTCAGATGTAGACGAAGATGCAGTGATGGACTGTGTTTATGAAAACAGCAATGATGATGCATGGGTTGAGGAATGGAGTGTGAAATATGACGAGGAACGAGAAAGTGTTCTTCAGAGTCAGATGAAATTTACCGGTGGTCATGTACCAGAACAGATGAAACCTGCCTTTGCAATGTCAGCAGAAGAAATGAAGAAGATGTTTGAAAACCTCACTTCCTGCCAAGAGAAGATGATAATACTATGGGAGACCTACTGTGGGAAATTATCAGGACTAGTTTCAGACAAATATGTGGGTCTGGATCTTTTGGGGGAAACTCTGAATCAGTTGGCAAAAAACGAAGTCCCAGTACAGAGGAAACTGCCACGCTTCCTGGAGAGAGGGAAACCCAACCTTGTCTCTTGTAATGCCACTGAAATGCTGCCTCAGTGTCTCTCTTTGTACCTTAATAAAGAACAGCCTCTTCCAACTTATGATGAGATTTTGATTTGCACTCCTGAAACAACAGCAGAAGAGGTGGAGCTGGTCATTAGAAGAGCTGTACAGCCTGGAAGCACACATGAGAAGATATATTCTCTCCTAAATGCTGAAAACCTGAAGCCTGAAGTAACTAGAGTTCTAGAATCCAATTTTTGCCGCCTATCACAGAGTCAGAATGTAACAGAGGCGAAAGAATACAATTTTGTAATATTCTGCAATGCCAAGGCACATCACAGCTATGTTCTAACTGCTTTTGATGAATACAGAAAAACTCTGCTGGCCAAAGATTACAAGGAAATTCATCAGCTCTTGAAAATGAAGCACAAGCTCTCCATTCAAGCTGCATTCCCAGCCACCATCATCCAAGAAGAATTCCGTCAGAGTATAAAGATGATCACTTCTGCTAGAGCAGGCATGGGTAAGTGACAATTCTCACATAATGTATTTGTTGAAATTATTACAGTACAGTGTACAGTATGTGATATTTAAATTTTGATTTGAATATATTTTTGCTCACAAACTCTTAGCCGATCATCTGGTCTTAACAGAACTGTACTTTTGATCAAAATGGCCGATGGCACTAACATTCTTATCTGACTAACAGGAAAAACACTTTTTGTGAAAAATCTAATCACAAGATCAAAGGAGAAGCTTACCAGCCAAGGATTTACCCACAAAACCATCAGCATTACTGATAGTGAGATAAAGCCAGGATTCATTTATGACAAACTGAAGGAGTACGAAGACAAGCCAAATGACAACATCCCCAGGATTTTCCATTTTGATGTACCACCTGTGGTTAGCGTCACTTTCACTTTTATTCAGAATGCCTTTTTGTTTTATGTGCTAAAATTGTTTAAATTTGATTCTCATATATATGTAACACCTGCAATAATCAGAACCATCACCCAACATTTCATAACCAGTTGGGTTTATTCATGAAAAACCCCACATACTTTTAGACTTGATTAAATGGTGGTACTTTAAAAAAATAGCATCTCAAATGTTTTTCCTTTTTATTGCAGGTATGCAAAGGGCTGTACACATTCCTAGTTCAGCTCTTTGTGCTAAGATGTTTCCAAAGCTTGGACGGTTTCATTTGGAAATGCAAAGACACCCATATTTACTTGGTCGAGTACACAGAGAGAAAACTCAGACAGTGTGACAGAGAAAATTCTGAGGTATGGAAGATGAAAAGAGTCTCTCAACTATGGTAGTTAAGGTGCCTTTGCAGTAGTAGAGTGCATTAGGGGTAGCTGGTGTTGTTATATAATAGTGTGCAGGTGTTGTAGCTTGTTATTAGCTGAAGCTTTTGGAAAGACCCTCACAGTTTTCTGACTCTGAACATAATTGAAAATGTGTGGGTTGATTTTAAACATGCTGCGCATGCAAGATGGACTTTGACTTAAACTTGTAAAGCTATTGGTCAATCACCAGAAACATAATGCTAAATTCACACTGAAATGATGGCAAACCAAAAAGTTTAATCCCCAGTACAGAATCACATATATGGGTAGTAACAGTGCCTTTAAGTACAGAACAGTGCAACTAAAATGTACCAGATGTTGACTAAAGAGAAATTGTAATAATAACTGAGAAATATATAATCTAGAGAAATTAGCTTTACTTGAAAAACTGCCTAGTCAAATAAAATCTCACACATACCAATTAGTCAAAATCCCCATTTATGACTTCACAAAACCAAAGCCAGCAATTGATTCTGAATTAACCCTTAAAATCCCAGATTTATTACATACTAAGACATTTTATTCAGTTACTATAAGGAATTCAATGCATACTGAGCTATTCTTAGGGTGCAGAAGTATGTAATAAAACTTTGGGACCGATGCCAGGCCCTGGATGTGCCTATGGTCGTAACTATCTAGGAGGACAATGAGGTCTGGACCTTGGTAGTTTTCTCTATCCATTTATGAGGTTTAATGTAGAAGTAGCGTTGATCCAACAATGTGGTAGTCTACTCAGCTTTAGTGTAGTTCCAAGGGCACCTCAGTTTAGACTGCATGCTCCATAGTTGGCTACTTTATCGATTAGATGAGAAATTAAAGTTTTGTGTTACCAACTCATAACATGCTACAAGGAGCACAAGAAAGCGTACTGTTAACTAGCATATTGATGGCATAGTATCACCATAACGTAATAAAGAAATCAACATACATTTGGCTGTATTTTGTGGCATATGAACTGTATCAGCTGCCTACCTCCCCTTTAGCTGGTAGAGACAGACTTTTATAACATATGAGTAGTGTAGGCTTTTTCAGTAATCAGTGAAAACTGAGATGCAAGAGAGAACAAACAAGAGAGAGAGAGAGAGAGAGAGAGAGAGAGAGAGAAAGAGAGAGAGACACACAGAGAGAATAAACTGAAAATAAACATAAATAAATAGTTAAATGATTAATTGAATAAACTTAGGGTAACATCAAGTCAAATCAGAACACAAAGGAACAAATGAAAGGAAAAGATGCATAACAATTATAGATGGATATAAAGAAGCAATGATTTGGTTCTAAGAAAAAGAGAAATTTATAGTTGTTGTAATACATATATTCAGCAGTCTAATATTTTCCTAATCTCTTGAGCATGGATAATCTTGTAAGGTTTACTGTTAATGACCATGAATTCTGCAAAATCTTTTACATAAACTAGACTGTGCCTCTGCTTCATTAGTATAGTCGTTTTTTATCCAGGTGTAAAATTTTAATTAGTTTATATTGTGTGAATTGGTAGATCACCTTGTACCTCAGTTACATCTTTGTACTGCTGATGTACAAGATCAGAAGACCAAGCTTAAGAGTCAGGCATAAGCAGTCTTTACATGACAAACTGAAATACATAAACCACATGTAGCATCTTGATTTCATTTTTTTTCTCTTCCTAGATTTCCACAGACCTAGAAGACAGTCTGTTACAAATGTTCACAACTGTCAGATGCTTTTCCCCTGAGGAAACTCTGAAACATTTACAAGTGGACCTCAACAACAGTGATAAACCTTGTGAATTTCAGTTAATGGATGACTCAAAGTTCACAAGTGAGGAATTTCAGAGGACCTACCAATACCTCAAACATTTTCAAGAAAACAATCTTGAGGAGCTCACATTTGACAGACAAAAAAGCATTGATTCTCCAGAGGAATGGTTGGAATGCATTTTCCGTTACTGTAAAATCCGTAACCCATCATGGGCAGAACTTTGCAACTACACACATTTTCTTAACATGCAGCTGAAACGATGTGAAGAATCGGTGTTCTGCAGTAATATTTTGCGCAATGACTTAACTGGCTTCAGACACTTTGTTGTGAAATTTATGATTACCATGTCCAGAGACTTTACCATGCCGTCACTGGTGACTTCTGATGAAAGCTGTGAGAGAAAAAATGATATTGAGAGAGAAGAAGAAGCAAATGATGTTTTGAGCGAATTTCAGATGAGAAAACACTGGGAACAAGAGGCACACCCTTATATCATGTTCAATTCTGATAATGTGTCCATGACTTTCTTGGGGTTCCACATTAAATATCGGAATGCCATTGATGTCAGAACTGGCAAAATAATTGAGCGTGATGTTATAACCTCATTGCTCTTTCGCCAGTTAATAGAACAAAGGGTGCCAATGAATGTCGACTTCAAAACACTTAATCGTTGCGAACAACTTGAAATTTTGTGCAGAGTGCTGGGAGTCGAGCAGAAAGACCCGGACAGCACATATGAGCTGACTTTAGACAATGTGCTGAAAATCCTTGCCATTCACCTAAGATTTCAGTGTAACATACCTGTGGTGATAATGGGTGAAACTGGATGTGGAAAGACACGACTTGTGAAGTTTATGTGTGATCTACTGAAGAGAGATGATGACAAAACAAATCTGATGGTGGTTAGAGTTCATGGGGGCACAACATCTCACATGATCTACCAGAAGGTCAAGCAAGCAATTGACATATCCAAAATAAACAGTGATCTTGGCATGTATACCGTTCTCTTCTTTGATGAGGCAAATACAACAGAGGCTTTGTATGCTATCAAAGAGGTGATGTGCGACAGGGCAGTCAATGGAGGACAAATTGATGCTCCAGACCTTAAATTTGTTGCTGCCTGTAATCCCTACAAGAAGCACACAAAGAGTGCAATAAAGCAGCTTGAGAAAGCGGGGTTAGGATACAGCGTTCGTGCTGAAGATGCATCTGAAAAATTTGGACGGATTCCAATGCGGCAGCTTGTCTACAGAGTACAGCCATTACCACCAAGCCTTTCAGCTCTTGTATGGGACTTTGGAAAGCTAAATGAAGGTGCTCAAAACCTTTACATCACCAAGATGGTTGAAACATTCTTCAAAACACAAAATCTTAATGAACAACACCAGTTGTTGTTTACAGACGTGATCAGTACATCTCAGACATACATGGCAGCTGAGAGTAATGAGTGCAGAATGGTAAGCCTCAGAGACATTGAACGATGTCTGAAAACAGTCATGTGGTTTTATCATCAGAAAGAGACACTGTTTCCTCTTGTTGATCAGAAGAAAATGACTAATGGTTCAATTCAGAGAAGAAGCATTGATGACTTAATTCGATCACTGATCCTTGCCATTGGAGTTTGCTACAGTGCTTCCCTTGAACAACGCATGAAATACATAGAAAAGGTTGCTAAAGCTCTTTCCCTGTCTGCCGTTGAAATATGTGATGAAATAGACTTTTGTCAAGAAGTCTTTGTTGACAATGTGGACATTCCACCTGCAACAGCAAGAAATGATGCCCTAAAGGAGAATGTATTCATGATGATTGTCTGCATGAATTTACGACTGCCTCTCTTTCTTGTGGGAAAACCTGGAAGTTCTAAGTCATTGTCCAAAACTGTGGCTGCAGATGCTCTACAAGGGAAGTCTTCACGTAGTGAGCTCTTTAAAAGCTACAAACAAGCACAGCTTCTGTCATTTCAGTGTAGTGCTCATTCAACATCTGAAGGTATAATTTCCACTTTCAAGCAATGTGCGCAGCTTCAGTTGAACAAAAATTTGGATGAATATGTCTCAGTGGTAGTACTGGATGAAATAGGGCTAGCAGAAGACTCACCCAAGATGCCCCTGAAAACACTGCATCCTCTTCTTGAATGTGGCTGTATTGATGATGAAGAGCCTGAGGAGTTTAAGAAAGTTGGTTTTATTGGACTGTCCAACTGGTCACTGGATCCTGCTAAAATGAACCGTGGCATTCTTCTGCTTCGTGCTTCACCAGCAGAAAAAGAACTTGAAAAAACTGCTAAAGAAATATGTTCTGTTGCTGAGACATTCAATACAAAAATCGAAGAAAACATTCACAAACTCACCCAGGTATACTCAGAAGTACTTCACAAACAGAACCAGGGCAGTGAGTTTTACGGACTCAGGGACTACTACAATTTATTCAAAGTGATTGCTACCTATGCTCAACGTTCTGAACCCTCCACTGATGATCTGGCAAGAGCTGTCCAAAGAAACTTCGGCGTCTTGGATTCAGTCAACAGCCTTGAAATATTTTCTAAAGAGTTCAAGGTTAAGGTCAAACCAGCCAGAACAATTGACCTGGTGAGGGAGAATTTGGAAACAGAGAAGAGCACTGGTCTTGAATCACGTTATCTTCTGCTTCTGTCGAGTAACAACGCTGCACTTTCCATTCTGCTGAGGTTGGGAATCATCGCTGATGATAGCACAGAGGTCATCTTTGGCTCAGGATTCCCTCTTGACCAAGAGTATTCTCAGGTCTGTCGCACAGTGAACAGAGTAAAGACTTGCATGGAGACTGGAAGGTCAGTCGTGTTGCTAAACATACAGAGTCTCTATGAGAGCCTCTATGATGCCTTGAATCAGTGTTACGTCAAATTAGGTGGGAGTGTTTATGTGGACCTGGGGCTTGGTGCCCATCGCGTGAAGTGCAAAGTCAATGAGGGTTTTCGACTTATTGTCATTGAGGAGAAAAATGTTGTGTATGCGCAGTTTCCAGCACCTCTCCTCAGCAGACTTGAGAAGCACTGCTTGGAATTTAACACAATTCTTCCAGAACATGCAGAGCAGCTGCGGACTGAATTAGAAAAGCAGACTGAAGAGATTTTTTCAGGCAACACACAAGAGAAGTGTGACGCCCTCATTGGATTCACACAGGATTCATGTGCGTCAGTGTTGTTGCAGTGTTGCCCTGAAATTCTTTTGGAGGACTGGGATGCAAACCGGAATGATGACGTTCTCAACCAGTGCAGAGAGAAGTTGGTGCAATGTGCAACACTAGACTCGGTAATACGAGTGAGAAGGAATACAGAGATTCAGAACATTTATTTCAACCAACAGACTCACACCAATCTGATGGATGTAATAAAGAAGTACAGGAGTAACAATGACAAAAGGATGTGCCTTGAGGTATTTAAATATTGCCAGTTAATTCAGTCAACATGTGTTCAAATCTATAACTAGGTTATACAGTATAGGAACATAAAGCATGGTAAAAAAAATTGTTTTCAGAAAAAAGTGGAGAGTAAAGTAATAGTAAGCTATTTTTAAAGCCGTTTTAAAGTTAACTACTAAGTCATTTTGAGAGCTATTAGATCAACAGCATACCATGGTATTACAAAGTGCAGAATCATCAGATTCTTTTCTGTTTTTATGTGTTGCAGGTGTCTACATATTCTCTGCTTCTGAATCAGAGAAATTTAAAATTCATAAATGAAGAATTAAACATCTCCAAAGAGCAATCCCACCTTCTTCAGATTCGAGAATTCCTAACAGAGCAGGCATTTTGTGAAGCAGTGAGGTAAAGCTTTATTTTATTTTACCCTTTGTGAAATCCATAATTTGTGAAGGTGTTTACTGGATTGCTTGAAATGTGGATGACACAATGAGTACGCAATGAGATGCACTCAGTCATATAGTTTAACTCTCTCTAGCCAAACAAACGTGACTCATGCATGCAGCGAAGCATCACATTAGTTTGGTGAGAGTGAGGTTTCTGTGTAAGGAGCAGACATGCTGTGCAGACCCACACTGCTTCTGTATGCATTCAGAAAGTGTGTGCCTACAGTGGGGCTTCAGTAGACCAACTATGCAGACAGGCCTCCAGAAAGCAGTAAATATTTGTAAAATCATAATGTTTGGTTTTACATTTAATTAAAAAGTTATACATAATTCCTGGTCATTTTCCTGTTTATTTTTCGCTGGTTAAAAGTACAGACAGCTGCAGCTCGCTATTTCCAAAGATTCCACCACTCTGTTCAGGCAAACAGGCTGTTTCCATCGACTCATGCAGTGCAGAATACATCTGTTACAGCCTCGACACCCTTGTTGCATAATCACATAAGGCATCGATATGCAGTTCTAGAAATGCATTTTAATTTCAATAAAGCTACTCATGAAGCATCACATTCTCTGTAAATGTCAATATAAGTGCACCAAATGGCAAACATAAATTAATTTATGAATGAATGAATTTTCCTTTTCATTTTTAGTCCAAACTTGCATGTATTGGTGGAAAATTCACACATTGCCATTTTGCATATTTAATTTTCCTTTTAAGTTTGATACTGATATGCTTCCATAGTCTGGTACTTCACTCTTATTTGGCAATAACTATATGCAATAATGAAACGCCAACATTACAGAAGCAATGTAGGATGACACTACTATCACGACAGTGTGCTTAGATGACAGGTGTCTATCTTTTCTAAAACCGAAAAAGCTTCATAGCATTTTAAGTTAGTGTTACCCCAAGTTTGACCAAAGTTACTGGCAACCTAGCTGAATTCATACTTGTGTTAGTCACAAACACACGTACCACCATGGTTACATGAGGCTATTGGCTTTCTAATTGACAGTTTCTTATTTAAATAGTCTTTTCCATCTTAGGCCTTGTGATGGACAGGTGACCTGTCCAAGGTGTTTCCTGCCTTCTGGCCAATGACCACTGGGATAAGCTCCAGCACTCCCCACAAACCAGAACCATAAGCAGCTTAAATAATGTGTGTGTGTGTGTGTGTGTGTGTTCCACCTTAAATAGTGCAGCAGTTACAATCTGGCACCAGTTAACTGCTGCACTATTTAAGTGGGAACCGGAACTACGAACGAGAAGCTGGCAAAGAAGAAACTTCAGCATTCAGCATATTGCATTGTGACAGTTTATTTAATAGAGCATTCATTAGGATTAGCTCTGTTCTTGTAACAAGTAAAAATAGACTTTAATATAGCATTACTGTAACATTCTTTGCAAGAACTGAGGACACCGGGAGCAGGTATGGAGACTGAGAGCCCTGTTTATTCACACAAAACACAAAATCAACCAGATAAGCTATCTAACTATGGTCAGGTCCCTAAATATTTGGATGTTGACAAAGTTATTGTTATTTTAGCTGTCTATCACAGTGCATTGAAGTTGAAATTAAATAATATAAATGACCTAGTGTAGACTTTCAGCTTTAATTTAAGGGCATTTAAATTATTGGAGAAGAAAGTGACTCCGCTGTGGGAGGCACAAACCAACCTGTCTGGTTTCAAGCATGTGTAATGAAAGTACTAATGACTACAGAAAAATGGAAAAAAACTATACAGTTTTATTGATGTGTTTGTTTGTTTGTTTGTTTGTTTGCTTGTAAAGGAAATGCTTTCAACCAAACTCAGAAGACAGAGTTCTGATTTTGGTTCAGTTCTACTTTGAGAACCCAAAGTTGAGCCAGCGACTGCTTTCCTGTGCAAGGTACAAACTGTAAACTGTATTAAATGTAAATCTCTTTTTCAGATATGAAATTATGTAATCAATCGGAAACATTTTTCAAGTCCTCTTTACCATAACTTTTAGATTAAACTACAGAATGTTACTCACATAAAGATGAATTAAAGTCTCCATTTATGTTTAAGGTATTGCATTTCAAAACTGTTGAAGGAATCTGAGAAAAGTGTCATGGTTGATGTCATTCTCCTGATCAGACTTCCACGGGTATTAGGAGGATGTGGATATATTGCCTTGAGTGGAGGTAATACGTAACTGTAATAAGTCAAAAGCACAAACTTTAGAACACCCTTTTTATAAGACTATGATTATGGATTGTGATCTTGTTTATATCCCACTTATGGACTTTAATTTTCTCTGCATTTGCAGATGACTGGGATTGTGTACACTTGGATGAACTCATGCCTACAAAAGGACTCCCTGCTGATATGCAAATACTATGCGGAATGCCCATGTCCAAAGTTTTTGAACAAAGCTTGACGCATGATGATGGTATGTTATGTGATAGTTTTAGAGAAGCAATTTCTTTCTACAAAATGTCCATTCTATTTGTTCATCTGTGGACCACATTCAAGAAACCATTTTAAACATTTGAGTACATTTGTTTAAGAAAACACAGCTTGTGAGACAACAAAAAAACAGAAAAACGCTTGAATTCTTCTGTGCTTAAATCATACTTTTTGAAATCCTGAGCTATTTTAAATGTTACTTGCACCAATATTACTGCAATGGCAAAAGTATTTACTCCCATAAATGATTGTCCAATTTGTAGAAGTTGTAGAAGTTGTAGAATTTGCATTCACCACAACAGTGTAATACGACAGATAATAAACAAAGATAAGCCAAAATCATGACCACTCACAGATAAAGTGAATAATGTTGATTATCTCATAACAGTCGTGCATTTCAAAGTCTGGAATATATTAGACAGTAAATGAACAGTCGGTTCTCATAGTCAGTGTGTTGGATATGAGAGAAATGGGCAGGTCTGAAGATCATCTTTGAGAGAATATCTTTGAAACAGCAAGCTTGGGGGTGCTCCCTGTCAGCATTGGTGAGTATCTACCTACAGTGGTCTAACAAGGGGACAAACCACATACTGGTGGCTCACTGATGTGTGAGGGCAGTGAAAGCTATCCCATCTAGTCTGAACTGACAGAAGGACTCCTGCGGCCCAAGTCACAGACCACAGACCGGTAAGAGTGCCCCTGATATCCCCCGTCTGATATCAAAAGCGCCTAGCACAAGCATCGGAACTGGGCCTTGGAGCAACAGAAGTTTGTCTGGTCTGAAGAGTCCCATTTTCTATTACATCATGTGGATGGCTGAGTACATGTGCACTTTTCACAGTTGCAAGCAAAAATAAGTGAACCCTTTGGAATTACCCGCATTTCTGCATTGATTACTAATAAAACATGGTGTGATCATTATCTAAATCACAAATATAGACAAACACAATCTCACCAAACTAATAACACTCAAACAGTTGTGCTTTTAATATCTTTTATTGAGCACATTGAGTAAACATTCACAGTGCAAGCTAGAAAAAGTAAGTGAATCACTGTGTTAATGATTTCTCCAAGAGCTAATTGGCAGGTGTTTCAGTTAAGGAGATGAAATTGGAAGTATGGGTTTCACAAGTGCTTTGCCCGTTAAATAAAGGCAGCACACAAATCTCTTCTTCTCAAGATTTAGGTTCTCAAGGTTTATGTGAAACATAGTTTAATAACCTGACACAAAAAGTACAGCATTTTGTGTTATTAGTTTAGTTAGATTGTGTTTGTCTATAATTGTGACTTATAACGATCAGACCATATTTTATTACTAATCAATGCAGAAATCCATGTAAGTCCAAAGGGTTTACTTACTTTTTCTTACAACTGTACCTGAGGAAGTGATGGCACTTTCTGATTTGGCACCATGTGATGCAAAGTTCTGCTGGGAAACCCTGGATCTGGGAAGGCATATGGACATTAACATGGCCATCCACTTAAACATCATTGCAGACCAGGTACACCCCTTTGTTGCAGTGGTATTCCTCGATGACAGTGGCCTCTTTCAGCAGGATAATGCGCCCTGCCACACTGCACACATTGTTCAAGAAAGGCTTGAGGAACATGATGAAGAGTTCAAGTTGTTGCACTGGCCTCCAAATTCCCCAGATCTTAATCCGATCGAATATCTGTGGGATGTCCTGGAGATCTGTGGAGGCCTCACCTTGCAACTTATAGAACTTAAAAGATCTGCTGCTGATGGCTTGGTGCCAGACAGTACAGGGCACCTTTAGAGGTCCGTAAGGTCCATGCTTCTGTTGGTGAGACCTGTTTTGGCGGTACACAGAGGACTGACAGCATATTAGACAGGTGGTCATATTTAAGCTTGTCAGTGTGAATATATATATATATATATATATATATATATATATATATATATATATATAATCAAACTGTCCACTTAGGAAGCAACACTGATTGACAATCAATTTCACATACTGTTGTGCAAATGGAATAGACAACAAGTGGAAATCATTGGCGATTAGCAAGACACACTCAATAAAGGAGTGGTTCTGCAGGTGGGGACCACAGACCACTTCTCAGTACCTATGCTTTCTGGCTGATGTTTTGGTCACTTTTGAATGTTGGTGGTGCTTTCACACTCGTGGTAGCATGAGATGGACTCTACAACCCACACAAGTGGCTCAGGTAGTGCAGCTCATCCAGGATGGCACATCAATGCGAGCTGTGGCAAGAAGGTTTGCTGTGTCTGTCAGTGTAGTGTCCAGAGCCTGGAGGCGCTACCAGGAGACAGGCCAGTACACCAGGAGACGTGGAGGAGGCTGTAGGAGGGCAACAACCCAGCAGCAGGACCGCTACCTCCGCCTTTGTGCAAGGAGGAACAGGAGGAGCACTGCCAGAGCCCTGCAAAATGATCTCCAGCAGGCCACAAATGTGCATGTGTCTGCACAAACGGTTAGAAACTGACTCCATGAGGATGGTATGAGGGCCCGACGTCCACAGATGGGGGTTGTGCTCACAGCCCAACACCGTGCAGGACACTTGGCATTTGCCAGAGAACACCAGGATTGGCAAATTCGCCACTGGCGCCCTGTGCTCTTCACAGATGAAAGCAGGTTCACACTGAGCACGTGACAGACGTGACAGAGTCTGGAGACGCCGTGGAGAGCGATCTGCTGCCTGCAACATCCTTCAGCATGACCAGTTTGGCAGTGGGTCAGTAATGGTGTGGGGTGGCATTTCTTTGGAGGGCCGCACAGCCCTCCATGTGCTCGCCAGAGGTAGCCTGACTGCCATTAGGTACCAAGATGAGATCCTCAGACCCCTTGTGAGACCATATGCTGGTGCGGTTGGCCCTGGGTTCCTCCTAATGCAGGACAATGCTAGACCTCATGTGGCTGGAGTGTGTCAGCAGTTCCTGCAAGATGAAGGCATTGAAGCTATGGACTGGCCCGCCCGTTCCCCAGACATGAATCCGATTGAGCACATCTGGGACATCATGTCTCGCTCCATCCACCAACGTCACGTTGCACCACAGACTGTCCAGGAGTTGGTGGATACTTTTGTCCAGGTCTGGGAGGAGATCCCTCAGGAGACCATCCGCCACCTCATCAGGAGCATGCCCAGGCGTTGTAGGGAGGTCATACAGGCACGTGGAGGCCACACACAATACTGAGCCTCATTTTGACTTGTTTTAAGGACATTACATCAAAGTTGGATCAGCCTGTAGTGTGTTTTTCCACTTTAATTTTGTGTCTCCAAATCCAGGCCTCCATTGGTTAAGAAATTTGATTTCCATTGATGATTTTTGTGTGATTTTGTTGTCAGCACATTCAACTTTGTACAGAACAAAGTATTCAATGAGAATATTTCATTCATTCATATCTAGGATGTGTTATTTGAGTGTTCCCTTTATTTTTTTGAGCAGTGGTGTGAAAAAGTGTTTGCCCCTTCCTGATTTCTTATTCTTTTGCATGTTTGTCACACTTAAATGTTTCAGATCACCAAACAAATATAAATATTAGACAAAGATAACACAAGTAAACACAAAATGCAGTTTATAAATGAAGGTCTTTATTATTAAGGGAAAAAGAAATCCAAACCTACAGGGCTCTGTGTGAAAAAGTGGTTGCCCCACCCCCCCCACCCGTTAAAACATAAATTAACTGTGGTTTATCACATCTTTGGAAAGCTGAGTTCAATTTCCCTGGTCACACCTGTTCTCAATCAGGAAATCACTTAGGACCTGCCTGACAAAGTGAAGTAGACCAATAGATCCTCAAAAGCTAGACATCATGCTGTGATCCAAAGAAATTTAGGAACAAATGAGAAACAAAGTAATTGAGATCTATCAGTCTGGAAAAGGTTATAAAGCCATTCCTAAAGCTTTGGGACTCCAGCAAACCACAGTGAGAGCCATTATCCACAAAAAACATGGAACAATGGTGAACCTTCCCAGGAGAAGCCGGCCGACCAAAATTACCCCAAGAGCGCAGCGACGACTCATCCAAGAGGTCACAAAAGACCCCACACAACATCCAAAGAACTGCAGGCCTCACTTGCCTCAGTTAAGGTCAGTGTTCATGACTCCACCATAAGAAAGACACTGGGCAAAAATGGCCTGCATGGCAGAGTACCAAGACGAAAACCACTGCTGAGCAAAAAGAACATAAAGGTTTTGCCAGAAAACATCTTGATGATCCCCAAGACTTTTGGGAGAATACTCTGTGGACTGACGAGATATGTGTCCCATTACATCTGGCATAGAAGTAACACAGCATTTCAGAAAAGGAACATCATACCAACAGTAAAATATGGTGGTGGTAGTGTGATGGTCTGGGGCTGTTTTGCTGCTTCAGGACCTGGAAGACTTGCTGTAGTAAATGGAACCGTGAATTTTGCTGTCTACCAAAATATCCTGAAGGAGAATGTCCGGCCATCTGTTCATGACCTCAACACACCAGCAAGTCCACCTCTGAATGGCTTAAGAAAAACAAAATTAAGACTTTGGGGTGGCCTAGTCAAAGTCCTGACCTGAATCCGATTGAGATGCTGTGGCATGACCTTAAAAAGGCAGTTCATGCTCGGAAACCCTCCAATGTGGCTGAATTACAACAATTCTGCAAAGTTGAGTGGCCAAAATTCCTCCACAACGCTGTAAAAGACTCACTGCCAGTTATTGCAAACGCTTGATTGCAGTTGTTCCTGCTAAGGGTGGCCCAACCAGTTATTAGGTTTAGGGGGCAATCACTTTTTCACACAGGGCCCTGTAGGTTTGGATTTCTTTTTCCCTTAATAATAAAGATCTTCATTTATAAACTGCATTTTGTGTTTACTTGTGTTATCTTTTTCTAATATGTAAATTTGGTGATTTATAAAAACTTGCTTTAAACTCAGGTTCACAAATGAGTTTTCCTTTACTATATTGTATCTGTAGGTCTCTGTTCATAAACATAAACTAGCCAAAACAAATTTACTATAAAATGAAATCGTGTTTGTATAAATTCAGAAAAAAGACATGTCAGTCACAACTGCATATGTGTACATATTTCTATATTGTGATCTATTTACACAAAGTTAGGTTAGTTCCATCATTTATGTTGGAATAGACACTCCCAAAATTTTACGCTGCTGCACTGACATTGAACCGTGTGCTGGCACTGAGTCAGTATGTCTAACAGGTCAAAACAAGCTCAAAACAAAGTGTGCGCTGTGCCCTGATTGGTGTTCTTGCTTTGCACTTCATTCGTCTTATGTTTTTATACACACATAAGACAAAAGGAATGACAGATTTCTCATAATGTAGTGGAGTAGAAAGTAAGATATTTGACTTTGAAATGTAGCGGAGTGAAAGTAAAAAGCCACCCAAAATGGAAATACTTCAGTAAAGTACAGATACACAAAACAATACTTAGGTACAGTAATGAATTACATTTACTTAGTTACTGTCCACCACCAGTTCATAATCTTCAGTATGTTTTAAATTTAGATTCTTTTTGCTTTCACTCAAGTAAATTATTGGCTCCATACTTCCAATTTTAATTGGCACACAGTACAAAAAGTTTTATTTAAATACAGTTTCTCTGTACTTTTTTCAACTCTCTCTGTGGTCTTGGTGTCTCAGCTTGCATCACCTTTGCTAGTCTTGCTTAATATTGTGCCCTCTCTTTGACAGCCAAAGGTAATCTGAAGTTTAGTCATTAATTGTTGCTTTTGCTATAACTGTTTAAGAGTTTATGTTGGCAGCCAAAATGACTTTACTTGTATTTTTAACAGATGATACTGACAAATTAGCCCCTGAGGAAAGTCATGAAATGGTGAGAAGGGAATATAAAGTGCATATTCCTTGGCAATAAACTTTCTGTGTGTACTTAAATTATTTAATAATACTAATATTTAATAAATAATATTAATTAATTATTTTTCGATACAGGATCAGCTAGTCGACACAGCATTGTTAACAAAGATGTCCATGCAAAAGGCCATCATCCAGCTGAATGACAAGGCAGACAATTCACACAGAGCCCAAAAGAGAGTTGAAATTCTTCATGATCTACTTCATGCAAACTTTGATGGTAAGTTCAAAACACAGTGGAGCACTCCTTTCCTACTTTTAGTAGCCAATTATATTGTTATGGATGTCTTCCCTACTATGCATCGGTATGGGAAGACATCATTAGGGTAACACTTATATAAGAAGAACTCTGTGCAAACCTAAATATGTAGATTGGGTTGTGCATTGAATAAATTATCAGGTCAGAAACAAACAGGGATCCAGACTCAAGTCTCATCAATAGAGCCAACATAAGTATTGTAGAAGCAAAGCTTTAGCCAAGTTACTCTTGTGCTGCAATGGGGTCTTTTAATTTTGACTCATAGCACAAATATGTTATTAAACACTTATTATTGTTTCATTTCAGTGCCAATTAACTTTTTAAAAGTCTTGGAAAGAAGAGTCGTTCAAATCTTGACTGCTCGGGAGAAAGAGAAAACAACAAACTGGGTCATTGATCAAGCTGAAAAAAAAAAAAGTTTTGTGGTGGAAGGAACTTCTTTTCGGTAAGGTCAAAGAAACAACTTCTCTAGTTTGAAAGGGTTTTGAAGCAGCTTTTTCTGACCAATACATGAATTCATGTTCCATATTACTTTGTTTAGAATGTAAATAATTTGATATATTTATACTGCAATAACTAATGAAGAGCGATGGAATACTTCCCTTAGGCTCCATAGACTACATTTAATATCAAGATACATTGAAGCAGTTCTGATCTCTGACTTAACGACAATAATTTTAATAATTTTTGTTAGTGGCAAAGCATTTTTGGGGGCAAAGGAATAACACATGGAATCAAAGTATCCCTATGAAGTTAAAATGCAGAGGATGCATTTGAAAATTTAAGTGAAAAGGGTTATTGTGTAGAGCACTACATTTTTAAAAAGATATACCGGACAAACAGAACCATTAAAATCAAGGATGACTACAAGTTGGTTTTCAAATGTGAGGAATGTTAGAAATTTTATCACAATTGTTGCATTTTAGTATGTATAAAATATGAGTAAAGGCTGTTAAAGCACTGAGTGCAATTTATTGAGAAGACAGTAAATGTAATCAAGTATGTATAAATGATGCCATCTTGCACACCAAGCATGATTTTTCAGATGGCAAAAATGGGACGTTATTTTATTCACCTTTAATTATATTCAATTTTTGTGAACTTTCACTGGCGTCATAATAGTTGTCTCTTTTAAACTTCCATCACTTTTGAGATAACAGTAAAACAGAATTATCAATCTTTAGGATAAGAAGAGGGTTAAATTTACGGTAATTTACATTTTCTTCAACAGTGTATAGACTGTTAAATTAACCCTTTGACACAATAAAATTTTAAAGAAGACATAGAGTAAAAAGGAGAAAGAATAATGAAGTGCACAAAAAAACAAATGCTTAAGAAAAAACAAATTGTTAAAAATAAGTCAAAAGTATGAAAGTGTGAAAACGCTTAATAACCATTTTTTTTTTTTTACGCTGAGATCAACTCACAATAGAGTCAAAAGGGGGCTAAAACCAAGTTAAGGCTGTGTCAAAATGAAAGCAAGACCAAGTCAAATGGATTCTTCCATATTGAATAATTTTAGACCAATATCGAATCTTCCTTTTATAATTAAAGTCTTAAAATTTTGCTGTCAAACAATGCATATCTAATGTCAAACAAGTTATGTGAGAAGTTTCAATCAGGTTTTCATTTTAACCATAGTATTGAATCAGCATTTGAGTTATGTTAACTCAGACTTCTATTTTGGTCTTATTGGAGCTTTTGACACAGTTGATCACAAGATTATATTCCACTGTCCTGAATACTGACTAGGCCTCTCAGGCACAGTTTTAGAATGGTTTAAATCATATTTAATGAATAAACAGTTCTTGGTTCAAAAATTTGTACATTTTATGTGGAGTCCCACAAGGTTCAGTTTTAGGGCTTTTCTCTTGTTATCACTACATAATTAGGAAGCATCGTCAATTTTCATAGCTATGCTGAAGATGAGTTAGTGCAAATTACTGGAAAAATGTAAAGGTTTTATTTCCACAAAACAAACCAGTGTGTACAAAAATAAACTGAATTCAAATCATTATAAATCAGTGCAGATTAAATTGCCTGCTCTTAATAAATAAAGCTGATACCAGAACTAAACAAAAGCAATCAATACTCACTCTGAATTAATCCATACACTGCCTCCTCTGAATTTATCCGAACAATGCCCACTTCAAATTAATCCAACTAATGCCCACTTTGAAGGAGTCTAGCCAGTGCCTACTCTGAAGGAATCCAGAATACCCACTCTGAATGAATCCAGCTAGTGCCCACTCTGAATGAATCCAGCTAGTGCTCGATGAGAATGAAAAAATTAAGCCTGCTCTGAATGAATAATCCAGCCAGTGCCTGCTCTAAATAAATCCAGCCAGTTTCTGCTCTAAATGAATCTAGCCAATTCCTGCTCGGAATTAATACAGCCAATGCCCACTGTGCATGAATAATACAGCCAGTGCCCGCTCTTAATGAATCCATACAATGCCTCTCTGAATGAATCCAGTCAATGCCTGCTCTGAATGATTACAGCTAATGCTCACTCTAAATAATACATGCCAATGCCCACTCTGAATGAAAAATCCATCCAGTGCCTGCTCTGAATCAATCCAGCTAATGCCCACTCTGAATGAATCCATACAATGCCCACTCAGAATTAATCTAGCCAGTGCTCGCTCTAAATGAATCTAGCCAGTGCCTGCTCTGAATGAATAATCCAGCCAATGCCCACTCTGAAAGAATCCAGCCAATGCCCGCTCTGAATGAATCCAGCCAATGCCCGCTCTGAATGAATCCAGCCAATGCCTGCTCTGAAAGAATCCAGCCAATGCCCGCTCTGAATGAATCCAGCCAATGCCCGCTCTGAATGAATCCAGCCAATGCCCGCTCTGAAAGAATCCAGCCAATGCCCGCTCTGAATGAATCCAGCCAATGCCCACTCTGAAAGAATCCAGCCAATGCCCGCTCTGAATGAATCCAGCCAATGCCCGCTCTGAATGAATCCAGCCAATGCCTGCTCTGAAAGAATCCAGCCAATACCTGCTCTGAATGAATCTAGCCAATGCCTGCTCTGAATGAATCCAGCCAGTGCCTGCTCTGAATGAATCCAGTCAATGCCCACTCTGAATGAATCCAGCCAGTGCTCGCTCTGAATGAATCTAGCCAATGCCTGCTCTGAATGAATCCAGCCAGTGCCTGCTCTGAATGAATCTAGCCAATGCCTGCTCTGAATGAATCCAGTCAATGCCCACTCTGAATGAATCTAGCCAATGCCTGCTTTGAAAGAATCCAGCCAATACCTGCTCTGAATGAATCTAGCCAATGCCTGCTCTGAATGAATCCAGCCAGTGCCTGCTCTGAATGAATCCAGTCAGTGCCCACTCTGAATGATTCCAGAGTGCTCGCTCTGAATGCATCCAGCCAGTGCTTGCTCTGAATGAATCCGGCCAGTGCTCGCTCTGAATGATTCCAGAGTGCTCGCTCTGAATGAATCCGGCCAGTGCTCGCTCTGAATGATTCCAGAGTGCTCGCTCTGAATGAATCCAGCCAGTGCTCGCTCTGAATGATTCCAGAGTGCTCGCTCTGAATGAATCCAGCCAGTGCTTGCTCTGAATGAATCCGGCCAGTGCTCGCTCTGAATGATTCCAGAGTGCTCGCTCTGAATGAATCCGGCCCGTGCTCGCTCTGAATGAATCCATGCAGTGCTCGCTCTGAATGAATCCATGCAGTGCTCGCTCTGAATGAATCCAGCCCGTGCTCGCTCTGAATGAATCCAGAGTGCTCGCTCTGAATGAATCCAGATTGCTCGCTCTGAATGAATCCAGAGTGCTCGCTTTGAATGAATCCAGCCAGTGCTTGCTCTGAATGAATCCAGCCAGTTCCCGCTCTAAATGAATCTAGCCAGTCCCTGCTACTAGTTAAAAATACTGTAGTAAGGAGAAATTAAAACTGGATTAAATACTAAAACTGTTGCAGGAGGTTAGGAAGTTCACTTCTACCATAATGTACATTTACAATTATGTTTAAGTTTTTAGAGCTGTGTGTCATGCTGATGTGTCATAATGCTTTGTTGTGATCTTTTTAAGACATGTTCTGTGGATTCAAATGGAGGATGCAGTGGCATCTGCCATGGCCCAAGTCTTTGCAGTTGTGGATGGAGATAATAATTTGGATCATGTGACCACTGGGCAGCAACCTGAAAAAACTGACTTGTGGATGAAGATTTTTCAGAATCAAGATCTCTTGAGTATTCCGGTTTTGCCAAAGTAAAACCCCTTCATTTTTGCATTGAACTAATAACGAATGCTATCTTTGAAAGGAACTGTCTGGTACCGGCTGACATTGATATATACTGAGCTTGTTTTTCTTCACAGACTATCCTACTCTGTTCTGTCTACAAGTAATGCAAAGGAAGCAACCGTTTCATGCAGATTCCCATTCAGTTGGGAGGTGAAAGCAAGATTTGACCAGATCTGGAGACAGGTCCACAATCTGCCAGGTACTGCTGTGCTTTATTTTGTATTACTCATATTGTGTACAATGGTCACACAAAAATTTCTGCGATTGTACAGACACTTTATATTGCCATTTTGTTCCTGGGGCTGGATTTTTTATCTAGCGTATTTATTTGTTTGTTTATTTATTTTAAATATAAAAATATATAATATATAATATAATATAATGAAGATAAGGACCCCAGAGATAGTACGAAAGTGACCATAATTAACATTATTGAGTTGTTTTTATGTTTGCACCTGTCAGGAATCTCATCAATGTCTAAACTGGAAACAATACAAAAATGTGAAGAATTGCTCAAATTCCCCTGGCTCTATGGCATAAAAAGCACACACTCACTTTTCAAAATGTATGCAGAGGACCTGGTGAGGATGTCTATGCCTGAATGTCCATCTAAAGTCAATCAGGTTAGTATTTCATATTTCATAAAAAATAATCACACAGTTTTACACACTAAATGAGAGACATTCATCAACATGCCTGAACACCACTTAGTATTTCAAAAATATAGCTTATGTCTGTAGCTTATATAGTGTATGAGTTAAAAATTCTACAGACAACTTAGGATGGGAGGGTGTATTACACATACAAGAAGGAAGTATTGCACATAGCATGCCAGACAAGTAAGAGTAAATCATTGCAAGGGCACTAAACAGTACAGATATTTGGTAGAATACAATGAAGAGGAAAAGGCAGGGATAGCTAAAATAGCTTCAAAACCTGTAGCTGCATAGATGTGTGGATGCAGTACAGTGCAGTGTAACAACATAACAGTATAGCACCACAGAAAGAAGGGTGGAGTTTAGAGGGAAAGGGAAAGTACGCTCAGAATAACGCAGCAACAGGTCAGTCTTTGGCCTCCTCTACTCACCTTTCAGTCTAGGTGTCTGGTTACTGCTGTAGGCTGTTTCCCTGTGTCTGTATATATTCCATCAACCCAGACTGACAACAGACCTACCCAATCAAATTGGGAATGAATAGTTCTTGAGGAGGCTTTGTAAAATAATGAAATATGATGTGTATTCTGTGAGTGCTGTCACTGTGTTATGGTGAATCAAATTATTACGCTCTCCGCCAAGCTCCATTTGCTTTATAAGCCCTCCAATCACTGCATAACAACTGGTGCTATCTGACCTTACCTCAAGCTCAGTTCATTATCAGCACACCAATGTTTGAATTTGAAGCTCCAGCTCCAGTTAAAAGATACGTAACCAGGGTGGTTTAAAACTGATATTCCATCCCATGGAGTATGTAGCTTTCTACCATCGTCATTGTTAGTTTTCTGTGAATTTGGTAGTTACAATACACTTGTCAAATGTCCAAGCAAACATCTAATGTTAATTCAGTACATCAAAGGTGAGACATGAATGGACCATTAACCTTTTTCATGCCCACTGTGGCAGTATGCTTTACGTACATTAATTAGGTTAAGGCTTTTAAGTTGTGTTGACTGTGTTAGCTGTGTTGTTTTTCCTAATTTTTGCTAAAATCATGTGTCTGATTTTATCTCAGTCATGTCCTCTTCTTTGGGTCTGTACGTTTGAAAATTGCGTCGACCAAGTTGGCCTACCCACTTTTTCACAGGCTTACCTAAACATTTACTTCTGCCTACGCCACTAAATCAGACAATAGATTATAGCTTGTCTTAGACCTAAGCTGTTTTGATGATGCTGATGATTTTACCTTGTGAACTGTACCGCACACCACTGGGGAAGTGTCATAGGACAGACTGGACAAAGCGCAAAGTTCGTTTCAAGTTCAGTGCAAATTTCTGTTCTAAATGAATTAGTGTAGAACTTTCATGCACCAGAATGCAACTGTGGCACCATTTAAGGTGAAACGTAGAATTTTAAAAAGAACCTGTCAGATAAGAAACTATCTTCAGCTTTTTTTGTTTAAATTCTTGCAGTCATAGAGATGATGAATGACAGTGCTGGATCGCAGTGTATCTTCAATAAAAACAAAGATTTTGAGTTTAGGGTTCTGTGTGTAACTAGATGCGTAGGGCCCACAGACATGTTAAAGCACCCCTGCTAACACTGATGCACTTGATACAGCCAGTCAGGGCTCCTCTGAAAAGGTTAATTTGTTGGAGCAGGTGTGGCAGATTGCGATTGGAACTGAGGTCTTAATCACATTCACTATTGTCCAAATTATTTTTTTTTCCTTCACCTATTGTATGTTTGCTTGCACAGACAGTAATACTGTGAAATACTAGAGGTTGCAAGCTTTCCAGTTGGTGCATTCTGTCCAAATGTTGCATATGGAAAAGCCACACAGTACTGCCCTAACTGAAATGGCTGTAGGAGTGTTGTGCTTCAGTGCGTATCTCTTCTGTTTTTTGCAAAAGTTGTAGAAATTATTTAGCTGCATCAGCATCTACTGGCATATTGTTACAGTAATGTTATTTCATCTTTAATTTAGAATTAACCTAGTGATGTTTATAGAAAACTCTTAATCTGCATCCTCCATGGTGCTCCCTATGCATAGGATTTTAAATGTAGATATGTTGCAGAGCTATTGCTGATTTATTTTGGGTTTGTCATTTTAAACACAAAGGCCATCGTGGTTTAAGCTCTATGAGATCACAGAGGTGTTACCTTGCAGAAGTCAAGTTAATTGACCTCTGCACTGAAATGTGAAGAAGAAGAAAAAAAAAACAGTCCAATGATTTAAGAATTCTGTTATGCTCCATATTTACAAAACTAGTTAAAATGTGAATGTGAACCATACAAAACCAAAGTACAAGCATTCACAAATAAACATATGAGAAGGCTCCTTTGGTCGGTACTTGTCTGTGATTTATTAAGCCATACAGTTTTTTAAATTTTGCTGTTTTTTTTTTCCTTTGAGATGCTGAGTTCATCATTTTGTTCCTTCAAATTCATTGGTATGAATTTTGTTTTGTTTCAGACTATTTCTGTCTCTTTAGTGGAACTTTCCAAAAATGTCTACAAAGACTTGACGCAAGCAGAACCAAATGATGTTTCCCTAGTTTGGCTGCATGTGACATATGAAGGGATGCGTGACAACCACCAAATCTTCCGCAAATTATCAGAGCAGTGTGGGGACATGATCAACACTGGAGATGTAAAAGAGGCAACTGAGGTAACAAAGTTGTCTTTTTCTTGTAACATTATACAACAAAGATGAGAAAAAATATTAAAAATGCATATTAGCAGGTGAGCTGATGGCAGAGCAATATCCACATCTGATGCTCTGTCGAAGATATCACTACATGGTATCAATTGGAATCTGTATGACGGGCATTACCACTCGCCTAGTCTTTCAGCCATTGCTTTCAGTTCATGAAACAAGGCTGAAATTAGCTTTCTGCTTGAATTTTTTGTTCTACCTTAAACAGTGTTGCAGTAACATTTGGGCACATTTAGGCACCAGAATGTAAGTGCTGCATCATTTAAGGTGGGCCAAAAACTTGAAAAAAAAAGAAACTAGCAAAAGACAGTAAGCATCATGCTTCACCTCATCTGCTACTATAAGAATAACTGTAAACTCTTTGGCCACCATGATGCAGATAAAGCGTTTCCTGATAAGCAAGCTTTTGGCCCTGCCCTGACGGGATGATTGACAAGTAGATGTCTGTGAAAATTAAAATGTAGTTGGTTCGAATGCATTTTCAAAGCCATTTTGCCAAAGAATGAGTGCAGTAGACAAGAGTGTGTAATAGCAGATAAGGAGAGGCACTGTTCCCCCTTTTACATTTGAATTTTGATATCTTACTTACTTGTTTGTCTCGTCGATAATGCAATTTCAAATGTATTATTAAAGAGTGTGTAACGCAACACAACTGCACAGATGCCCACGGATGTGGTTAAATTAAAAGGTTTTACTGTTTGAAATGTGATCCAAGCTTGTAGTCAAAAAACATGCACAGGTCAGATCTAAAACAATCCAAAAAGACACAAGGAAAAACATGACAGGGTCAGGCAACCAAGATCAAAAGGTCAAAAATCAGAGTCGAAAGTTCAAAAAACACAGTCCAGATACAAATGTAGAACACTTGGTAGCTCAAGGAAATTAAGCAATACCTCACAATTTGCTAAGATAAAAGTCCAGGCTTATATACTAATTGACTAGGCTCATATGAAAAGCAAAACAGGTGTAACAGATTAGTATTCAGGTGAGGGAGAGTGTTGATTGGTTGTTGTTATTAGCTGATCTGCGGCCACGTGATCTCCAAGAGAGTTCTGGGAAGTGTAGTTCTCAGATTTGGAGGAATGCATGAATAAGTGCTAGTGTATAGTGTGCTAGTGTGTATTTTGAAACATTACTGCAAACAGTTCTGGAAAGGCATTTTAATTTAAATGAAGCTAGTTACAAAGTGTCTAAATTTCTGTTTAAATGAAATTTCAATACTACTATGCCAAATAAAAAAAAACGGTAAAACTGCATTTTCATTTTGAGCCAAAAATTGCACAGACGAGAAATTCAAACATAGCATCAATTAATTAATTTTCATTACTAGGTTAAAGTGTAACCTATTTACCTTACTTAACATACCAGCTGACCCATTTGTTAATCATCAAGGCTTTGATGATTAGGCAGCTCAAATCCAATTTTGGGTATGTTCATATATATATATTTTCCCAATAATGTATTGACCCAGAGACATGTTAGCATGACATGCTGTTCTGATTTTTATGAAATATTTACCTGTTTTCTTAGCGTGTACTGTTTAAAAGGAGAGTATCCTTTGACCGGGACCAACTTGGTTGTAAATGAGCAGCAAAATTCAGTTTTGTAGAACTGCAACATGACTGCGATGTTATCTCCATGGCCTAGCTGTGTAAGAGTGGTTAGGTAGCATGGTCTCTTTCACATGCTTTCATATTCGGGAATCCCAACATGAATGTAGCAAGGTAAACTAGAGCAGGTATTTTGTATTTCTCTCAGAAACATAATTTGGATTTCTCTTAGTATTATCGGGTGCCTTATTACACAATGTTTATGTTGACTGACTATTTTGTTTAAAATGGAGGAGCAGCTGGGTTTTGCCTTGTAGTTTTCAGCTGATACAGATTTGTAAGGGTTTTAAAGAGTAACGCAGATGAGATTATTACAGTGTGTATGTAAGTAGGTAATTAGTAATTTATAACAAACTGCCTTTTTTGAGTAATTACACCAACACTGAACTCCTTATTGAATTGAGTTTAGTACTTGTACTTTCATATTCAACAGTGTTTTCTATACAAAATTGAACAAGCATCTTTCTTTTGGTCATCAAAGCATTGCAAAGTTACAAATAAAATAGTTACCCAGATGGTTGACTAGTTGATGCTTGTTGTGCCCTTGGGCCAAAGCACTTAACCTCTGCTGATGACAGTATACTGCTCGTAGACTGGGCTGGGTAGCAAAATGACCAATTTCCCTTATAAGTGGATCAATAAAAGTTCCAATTAAATGTTCCAGACTTTGTCCCTTTCAACTGAAATTCAAATTTAAATTGTACTGAAGTTAGCTTTGACAATCTCTTCATTTTAAAGCTTATAAAGAGCACAGATAGTACTGTGTGAGTTGTGAAATATGGAGTTGAGCACATAATAGCTCAACAAATAGTTCATTCAGCTCTTCAGATTTTAATGACTAAACTTTTAAGGCGGTAAAAATCAGGTGCAACATGTTTGTTTTTTACGATGTCTGTTTTCTAAGGATAATGAATTCTTTAAGATAAGGTAAAAGTATATGTTTTGATGCTTTATAACGTTCTCAAATTTAGACACAGAAGACATGGCAAAGAATAGCTTGTAATGCATTACATTGTTATAAATAGTAGTTTTCAACTCCAGTCCTGAGCATCGCATCCTACCCAGAGAGCTTGATAATTAGCTGATGAGGTGGAGCTGGTATGTAGGGACAGCTTAAACTGTGCAAGATATTGGGTTCCCAAAACTGGAAGTGAGAACTGGAAGTGTGTGTGTGTTAAATGTTAATACTCTTCCACAGGCAATGCACCTTTTACTGGAGAAACTTCAACCCAGCAACGACTTGCTGAAGAGCTACGCTAGTTGCCAGGATTGGCTTAACAAAGTGAAGTCAGTGTCTACGTCAGTAGAGCTGATTGTGTCAGAGGATTCTCTGGTCCGACAGCATGGCACAAGAGGAGAGGAACTGATCCAAAACATCAGGTAAAAACTGTTTATTTGTTTATGTCCAATGATACAACCTACAGAGGATGGAATTGGCTATAATGGGAGAAAATTGGAAGGAAAAAAAAGAAAAGAAAAAAGAAGAAAAGCATTTCAGGATTGATGAGAATGATCAAATCACTACACATAGGAGATTACTATGCATAAAAAATAGGTATTATATTTAGCTATTTTTGTAAATAAAAATGAAAATTCAAAATTAAGCATTCACACAGGAAAACATGCTAGACAGAAACATTTAATTAAAAAAAAGGTTTTGTGCCATCAAATCCTATTTTCACTTTAAAAAGTGGCTGTCATGATTTACTAAATAGGCACAGCGGTCTTTTAGTGCTCATAATACCGTCAAAGTGGTGGCCATTGCTCTTTTGCACTTTTGCCTCATTACCTATGCATTTATAGTTTCCGCTCAAAATGCAAAACACTGAAAGGAAATTGTTATAATAAAGCACTTCTTCTGATTTACTGAGGCTGATAGAAAATACTGCTGTAAGTTCTTTATCAACTATGAAAAGTTTGTCTTATTTTGTTAATTTGGCTGCCATTGTTTGTGCTTACAGAAAAGGGAGAGTTTTTTATTTATTTGCAGGGAAAAAATGTGTAAACACCTGACATGTTACATTATTTTTAAATTTATAAAGAAAATAAAAACCTTAACCAGTTAGTTTTTACAAATGGTGTTTCAAACTATTATTTCTTAATACTTTGGAAGTATTTTACAACGCTGTCAAAGAGAGGGTTTTGCCTAAAAAGTGATCTGATCGTTCTTTTTTAATCAGTTGTTAGAAGAACAGACTGAAACTGTGCAAACCCAAAATTACTAAAGCTCCGTACTTTGCTACTTTGTGTGCACTGAGGCTTCTGTACACTGTGATAGAAATGTCACAGATTTTGATGTATTGCATGGAACTAAGAGATTACTCTCACCACAAGTTTAAAATTATACACTTCCAAACAGCCATGATGCACGCAGTGACATTAAACAGGGATTGCATAATATTGCACAGTTTCCAAAAGTATTATGCACTGAATTCAGCTGAAAACATCAGTACCCTCCAGCCCTGTGTTTGGAAACTACATTTCTCTAGATGTTGATAAGTGACTTATTGTACTGAAATAATCATGTACACTCTTGAAAAATGTTAGGGTTCTTCCTAAATTATTTAGAGGTTCTTTGAACTGTAAAAAGGTTCTTCAACTCTCTTAAGAGAATCTGTTTTGTAAGTGAGATGCATGAGTGTGAAGTGTGAAGGCTGAGAAGCCAAACATAGTTCTACTATGGCATCTCACAAAGAACCAATTCTGGCACTTCATTATTATTATAAGTGTACATTCCTGACAAGTAACAACTACTATTTTTGACTTAATCTCAAGAAAACAAGTCACAATTTGAACCAGAAACAGAGAAGGGTAAAAACTGTCTTCCTCCTTCTTGATGGAAACAGGCTTTCATACATGTTGATTTTCATGTAAATTCTTAGTAGATAACTTGCTAAATTGGCCACCCCATCAGCACAAAGTTTCTGTAGACTGTTAGCAATAAATACCTCATTTAGTAAATCTGTCCCTAAGACTCTTTTTTTGTTTCCCAATAGGCGTCTGTGGCATAGTACACAAGTGGTCTATCTGCTAATGGATAACTTATTACAAGATGAAACCCAAATGGAGGAGAAACTTCTAGGTATTATTACGAAGAACTTCATCCACTTCTCAAAGGTAAACAGTATGGAAAGCCAGGAGCAACACACAAGCCACCCAGTACATTTTTGGAAAGGGCTCGAAAAGGTACATAGGGACACGCTACAAAGCATGTCACAGCGAAAGAATATTTCAAAGAAGCTTCAATCTAAGAAATTTAAGAATTATTTTAATTTAAGAATTATTAGAGGTGGGTTCAAAAAAGGGATGGTCATGTAAAATCTGTTCTGACTTCTTCAAGTAATAAATTTGTTGTGATGGTTAAGGGAAATAAGTTCTCAACATATTCAAATTTTGGAAAAAAGTATGTGTCCAGTGAGATTATAAAATGTTTGCATGGTATATATATATATATATATATATATATATATATATATATATATATATATATATAAAGCATTTTGTAGTACATTTTACCTAACCTGAACTTTTTAAATTCATCTTAAATGAAAGGGTGTCAATTGACGATTTGCAAAATTCTGAGAAAGTCATGCCTCCCTTAGTTATTGTTGCTATGTTCATATGTTCATCAAACTTTCAGTTCAGACTACCTTTTAACATGTGTAAAACCTGTGCTAACAGACTAAGACATTCTGTAGTACAAAGTCAAATTTAGAAGCACAACCTGATGGGACACTGGGCAAAAAGTAAATAAAAACAGAATGCAATAATGTGCACATCTTTTAAACCATATATTTAATTGAAATAGTACAGAAGCAACATATCAAATGTTAAAATTTAGTAATTTAATTTTTTTTAATATGCCCATTTTAAATTTGATGCCAGCATTTTTTATTCACAAAAGCTGGGACTGTGTTGCATCACCTCTTCTTTTAACAACACTCTGTAATCATTTGGGTACTGAGGAGACAAATTGCTGTAGTTTAATGATTTGCACATCATTGCATTCCCTTTTTATTTACATTTTGCACAGCATCCCAGCTTTTTCAGAAACAGTGTTGTGCATCTGAAACATTTTTCATTCAAAAGTGAACTGGCCTTACCTTATGTTCTGTGCAGACATACATGTTTGAGAACTGATGAAATATGAAAGTGGGGCAATTTAAAGTGAACAAGAAAGGATTCAGGAAACCAAGTTTACATTAATCAAATAAGGGAAATTGTTTAATTACTCAGTGTTGAAGTGCCACATCTCATGTCTAATAAGGAGGAGGTTTTAGTGACGGAAGCTACCCCTTCAATTTCCCTAATGCCAAAGCTAACACTAGAGCTTTTCAGAGCAATGTTAGATGCTGGGAAGGAACAAGCTTTAATGAAACAATAAAAAGATAGTGACACAGTTATTATGGCATTAAAGCCCCAGGGAACCTAAATCTATCCAATCCATGGTTCTTTCTAAGTAGACTAATCTTGCTTGTTCTTGCAGGAACATAATATACCTGTTCAGAGTATTTCTTGTGAATAACTTTCCAATTCCCAATAAATGGCCAGTTTATTTTGTTTGTGGTTATTTTAATTCTGAAGGTTTATTTTGAGGAATTTTGTTGATGTTTTTCTTTCATTTGATGGAGGAAGGAATGTTTTTATATAATTATGATTGTTTTACGGAGGACACTTTGAGAGGGAGTGTGACATAAAACTATGATTTCCCCTTTATTGCATCCCAGCGGATTCTAAAGAAAGACATGGACATGGCACAAACCTTCACGGAAGTCACACGTGTTCTGAAGCAATGCAACACCAATGCTTGCAAAACTTATCTGTAAGTTTGTATTTCTGATAATCCAGTGAAACAATTGTTTTTGAACATAAACCTGTTAAATTATTAACAGATTTTGTGGCAGTGTCCCATGGTTAATTAGTAAAAAGTAGCAGACAGTATCTTGCTGTTTTAATTTGTTCTCTAAAGCCACTACACAAGTGTAACCCACATATCTCAAATTCTAAAGAAGAGCACCCAGTGGGAGCACCACATTATAGAATACATTAATGTCTAGTGTTATATCCTAATAAGTGGCCAGTGTATTTTGTTTGCAGTTATTTTAATTCTCCTCTTTCAGTGTAAACTTGGAAAAATGTGATGTTTCTGAACAAGTCCGGTACATTTGGCCATGTACATGTTAGTAGTATGTTTCTTGCACTGAATCCCAAAGTGAAGAAATGAGAAAGCAGCTTTTTAAAAATGTTTATTTATTTATTTTGTATTTTTTCATTGTGTGGTTTCATTTACAGCAATTTATTTTTTTGCAGTTTTAGTGGAACACAGCATTTAAAATAACACAAATTCATTATTAATCTCACTTCTACATCGTAACTCACTTCAGACTACATAGTAAACAAAGCAAAAATTAGTAATGGGAGAAATAAATCCTACTGAAGCTTTGAGGTAATCTCCCCAATTGCTTCAGAAAATGATTCACTGCTTTGGAATACTCAAAACTTTGAATGCGAGCACCATCTCTTCCATACAAACGCACTGTGAAAACCCCAAATCATTAACAACTCTGTTACAGTCATATGTAAATTTGAATACCTCCAATCAAAGTTCAAGTTTTGTTGATTTTAACAAAAATTAACACATTCTCTACAGAGAAAAAGCTTAAATATAGCATTTCTGTGCTAATTTTAGTGCACAATTTCAATTTATTCAGAAGTTGAGCACACTGTGAAAAAATAAAACGAAATCTAAAATGTGCCGTAACCAATGGACCCTTTTCACATGTTGAGGGTTTCACTATCTTTGGTTTCTATTAGCAAGTTGTTTCCAGTCAAGCCAAAACAAATGGTGCTGTCCAGTTTTCAATGTTTTTCATTTCTCAGTGCCTCCAAACAAAAATAGCCATACCTGTAATTTCCTAAATTTCCGACCAAGTACACATTAAGATCAAAATGGATCCAGTCAATCCAAAGGATAGAGGGTCCTAATATAGAGTAAATGACAGTGTTCATGTCTGCAGCCATCACTTTGCCGAGAGTGATGTTTATAAGACTCCTTCAGGTCGATTCATGCTCAGAGGGGGTCCTGTACTCTGCTTTTTCCTTTGGAATAACTTTCAAAAGCCCAAGATTCAAGAATCTGTTCATTCAAGAGCATCCACACGACTTGGAACAGATGTTTACAGCCAGGATAACAATGCAGCAGTCACCTAAAATAGCGTGCAGGTGCCAAAATGTAACTGCAGCACCGTTTAAGATGGAACCGAACACTTGAATAAGACTTCAGAAGTTCAAAGTCTAGCAGTTTACTAATATTGCAAAAGCAGCTTTACCTAACAAAGCATTGCACCTGAAGATTTAAACTCATTTGTTGGATAGTGCTAGTAATTGATGTCTTTGATTAGCCAACTCAGTACAATAACACTGCAGCTGCAGCTCTCTCTTCAAACCTGTACTTTATGAGGTTTGTCATTCTTCCGCAGTGCTCTATATGATCTGGCCCTCATTATGACCTCTACAGTGGCTGAGAAGACACAACAAACTGCAAATAAAAAACGAGCTTTCATCAAAATGACAAGAGGGGAGCTGTATTTTACAAATGCGCTGCAAATTTGTACACACTGCAACTGTGTGTTTCTGGAGGACACTCAGACAGGAGCCATTCACACTTTTAAATTCTTGGTTTTAAATTCACCGGTCAGAGTAAGTTAACTTTTATTTGAGCAGATTAAGACTATCACTGTAGCGTAATGGGAATCAGCTTTAGACTGTAACTGTACAAGTTTTACTAAAACTAGTAATACCAGAGAACTCCTACAGTACAGCTACAAGTCAGACGGCAAACTATCCAGTCAGGTTAACCATGAACTTTGTGAGTATCTGTGGTCTTCTCCACTTCTGTCAGTGATTTTCCATCATAGATAGTCCATCCCGTTTGAGTCTTCCAGAAACATTTCCGTTGTGTTGTGGCTCACTTCCGTTGTGTTGTGACTGACTGAAGTTGTTTGTGTTTTCTTTATTTGCAGTGTGTTTGTAAAATGTAGCTCAGTGTAGCCATTTTTATAAAAGTGTTTTCTGAATTTGCAGCGCATTTAGGAGTTTGCCGCGTGTTTTAATTGTACTGTAAATAGGCCACTGTATATTCTTGTATAAATTGGTGTACATCACTCACTGTGAGGAAGGTCCTCAAGACATCTTGGGAAGTGCCTTATTTCCATGTTTTGAAACAACTGGCACAGCATCAGAGTGTGAAAAGGGCCTATTTAGAAATGCAACAGCAAATTTCAGAAACACAACAGAAAGTTAAAAAACACAACAACCAATTTAGAAACACAACAGCAAAATTAGACACAAAACACAAAATTCTAAAACAAGAAAGTAAATTCAGAAATACAGCAGTAAATTCAGAAACACAACAGCAGATTTAGAAACACAACTGAGAATTCTAAAACACGAGAGCAAATTCAGAAATACAGCAGGAAATTTAGGAGCACAGCAGCAAGTTGAAGGACACAACAGCTAATTTAGGTACACAGCAGCAAATTCAAAAAACAAAAAAGCAAATTCAAAAACACTACAGAATATTGAGAAACATGACAGAAAATTCATGAACGGAATAGCAAATTTAAAAAAACTATAAATTCACTTAAGTATAAGTTCAGAAACAGAACAACATTAACTCAAAATGCTGAATGTCATGCTTGTTGCTGATTGGTTACCACATGTCTGAGTGAGTGTGGAATGTAAATGAAGAACATCTGAAGGAGATCCAAATGAATACAGGATGTGCAGGGCAGCCATTCTCTGCACAGATAGACACATAGTTGAAATCATAAAATCATAATCTACACATCTAAAAGAGAGCTGTCTCTTGGTTTGGATAAGCCTGACTTAAACCCAAAGTTGGTAACCTGTAATCTTGCTTTACGGAATACATCTCTTTTAGTGTATGATCCCCCCTCCCAAAACATCAATGCAAAAATCAGCCAGAAAGAGATAACCCAGGGGTTATTTCACTACAATTTGCCAAAAGAAAGTCCACTAGGAGAAGAGCTAAGGAACATTCCTGTTGTACAGCCGTTAACTTTTGCCTCATGTTATCCAGCTTACTGAGAAATCCAGCACTGTGTAGGATACCCAAGGCTTTAGGCTTAAACCAAACAAACAAAAAAAGCAGTCATTTTCTTGTTTCTTCCATTTCTGAATCAGTGCAGTGTACTCAGCCCCAGTGTCAGTGGCTATTCAAAATACATAAAATGTAACCACATTGAATTTAGTGCTGGACTAATGGGCACTGTCAATGTCAATGCTGATTTTTCAACTGCTAGTGAAAGAAGCACTAAGCTTTTTTTATGTCTTAAAGGACAATTGATTGTGCATCCTGTGGAAATGAATTCAGCGATCCTGTTGAATTACCATGTGGGCATATTTTTTGCAAGTCCTGCATTGATGTGATTAAGGACAAGAATTGTTTTACATGTAGTCAGCACTTCGGCAGCTCATACAAACAGTGTGCGCCTCGCAAACGGTATGTAAACAAAAGATAATATTTGAGATTTGAATATTTGAATATTTATAAATTTTAGTTGTGGTAGTACTGTAAATAAATATTAAAACGATGCAAGTCAACTAACAAAGGTGGTGATTAAAGGTTACAAAAAAGTGTCAAGAACCCTTTGAAATCATTGTTAATAAAATTCTGTGTATTACATTGCTTGCAAGGCAAAGGTAAACTTTTGAATATTGGAGATAATATTAATCTGCACATTATTTATATTTCCTCTCCAGAATTTGATCATCCCTTAAGCTTTTAATTGCTCCATCTTTGTATTTAAAACAGTGGATTTTATTTTATTTTTATTTCAACTCAACAGAAGCTTTAAATCTAATGCTGTCATTATTTTTATCCAGAATTATTTCCTTCTTTCCTATTTCATTGCATTTGAATTCTATGACTTCTTTTATTTAGGGAGGCGATGCTTCAAATGAACAAGTTCCGAAGTCACTGTAATTCATTTTTTGTGGAGTTCATACTGAAGTGTTGTATTAAAGAAAACACTGAAATACCTGAGGGAGTGGTGAATCAGCTTCTGGATTTTGTCAGAGGAAACCCAAAAGGAAAAGGTATTGCTTGTTAATAGAATTATTCATTCATTAATTACAATCATGCATATGACTTATAACAAACACAGTAACACATAATTGTTTAAGTTCAAATTTTGAAAATATGTGCAATTTTAAATAGCGCTTCACAAAGCAATGCACAACAGTGTTGTTATCCAATGGTATATACTTCTTGTTCTTCTTATTTTTCTGCCAGATTTTTGTCCGCTAGCTTGTCTTGCAGTGTTTGAGATATCACAGTTCTGGAATGTTCAGTCTGATCACTAGTAGTGTGCTTGTATATGTTTTTTTTATTGAACGTACAGTTTCCATACAGTTATCATTAATCAATTATTTTTTCGATAAGAAGGAATGGGGGCAAAAGACAAGGTGTAGCAACCACCTGAGATACCTTAGCAACCAGCTAGCAACAGCTTGGCAGTCACTTGGGATACCATAGCTACTGTCTAGCAACACCCTAGCAGCCACCTGGGATACCATAGCAGCTGCCAAGCAACACCCTAGCAGCCACATGGGACACCATAACAACCACCTAGCTACACTATAGCACCCACCTGAGATACATGACCACCATCTAGCAACACCATAGCAACCACTTGGGATACCATAGCAACCACCAGGGCAACACCTTTGCAACCTCTTAGGATATCATGGCAACCTCCTAGCAACCACCTAGCAACACCCTAGCAACCATCTGGGATTCCATAGCAACCACCTAGCAACAATCTGGGATGCAAAAACAACCACCTAGCAACACCATAGGAACAACTTAGCCACACCCTAGCAACCATCTGGAAATTGTTTAAGCTGCGCAACCGCTCTGCATTTTCTTCAGGAAATGCACTTTTCTTTTACTTTTTTATTCTAGTTATTATTTTAATGATAGTTAACTATAGACGCTATAATGTTGTTTAAGATTATTATGTTGTAATTCTTTAGGATTTAAATAAACATCAGTACCACAAATCATTGGATGGGTTAGTTATACTTTGCTTAGGCTTTAGTAATTATCTTGTTTTTACTTTAATAATTACTTTCTTAATTTTATTCAAGATGCGCCCACCAGAAAGATGACAGAGTTGTCACTATTTCATGAATTCATGGATCCAAGTCCTGCTGTGCAGTCTCTAGTGCTCCGAATACTTCTCACTAGCAGGTACTCATCTGTTTCTTTCTCTTTCTGTTTTAGATCTGTTACATACACCTACATTATTGTCAAAGACCTATGTTTACTTTTTCACAGTCCCTTAAGTTGGATGACTTAACTAGGTGAGTGGTACAATCTCCAAAGAGATATGTAACTACTAGGGTAAATAGGGATAAGTACCAAAACAGTCTTTCAAAATAACATTGAAATGTTGAAATAAGTACATTAATAATTAGAACCTGTTTTGCATGTCAGTGTTGTTTTGGCAGGCCATTTCACAAAAAAAGCATTACCACTCTTCCTAAAGAGAGTCTTTCCACAGAAAACAGTGATAGGCTTTTCATAGGAAAAAAATATTCATCTGGATAGTACATTGTTAAAAAAATCACTTACTGTCTGCTAGTTGCATTACTTTTACGCTAATTTACTGTACCGTATTAACAGTAAATAACAGTAAAATAGCAACTGTATACTGTGACTTCACAGTCACTTGGACCATAACATTACTGTGATGCAGCTGCATTCTGCCGTACACTTACAGTAATAAGGTTCAATTACTTTTACATAACAGCTGTAAAAGTAAATTGAAAATTTACAATTATACTAGAGATATACAGACGTATGTTTTTATTTCAAAAAGCCAAAAGAACTGAAACAATAACAATATATTTATTTACCATATTTTGCACTTCCTATGCACAGAATTTCTCAAGGTAGCATTTCAAAATGCATCTTACATACAACGTAATTTTGCTTATAGTTTGCACAAATAAGACCAAAACCTCACCAAAACCCATTACCTCAATATCTCAGTGTCCCAGCATAAAAAACTCAAGTGCAAAACTTTAAAATACCAAAACCTGAATTGTCGGGAAAAAAACTTAACTGAAAAAAACTTAACTAAAAAAAAAATGTAGACTGTTTTTATAAAAATGTTTACATGGTTTTAAACCTCAGTTGCTTTCAGAACCCATGACACTGTGAAATATATATAAATATTAATGTTGTTTACCTAACTTTCATTGTGTTATTAAAAGCATGTATTGCTTGTTATCTTGTTAATTTTTTTTATAACCCCATTGCTGAGATGCTGTGTAAGATGTAAATAACAACAGAATGCAACAATGTTCAAATCATTTGAACTGTATATCTCATTGAAAATACTTTTAAAAATGGGTGCCCATTTTAAATGTAAAGCCAGAAACATGTTTCAAAACAGTGGGAACAGGTTTGTGTGGGCATGTTTACCACTGTGTTGCATCTCATCTCTTCTTTTAACAACACTTTGCAAAGATTTGGAAAGTGAGGAGACCAACTGCTGTGGTTTTGAAAGTGAAAGATTTTCTCATTCTTGCTTGATATTGGATTTCAGCTGCTCAACATTTCAGGGTCTCCTTTGTAGTGTTTTTGTTTCATAATGCACCAAATGTTTTAAATCGGTGACAGGTCTGGACTACAGAAAGGCCAACGTAGCACCCGGACTCTTTTACTACGGAGCCATGCTGTTGGAATATGTTTTGAATGTGGTTTGGCATTGTCTTGCTGAAATAAACAAAGCCTTTCCTGAAAAAGATGTTGTCTGGATGGCAGGATGTGTTGCTGCAAAACTTATTTATGTTGTTCAGCATTAATGGTGCCTTCACAGATGTGCTCAGCCTCTCTGAGATGCCTTTATTACCCATTCATGTTACTGACATGTTGCCAATTACTCTAATTGTGAGATGTTCCATCAGGTCCTTTTTAACATAAAACAACTTCACCTTTTGTTTTGTCTTTTATTGCCCTGTCCCAACTTTTTAGCAAGTGTTGCTGGCATCAAATTCAAAATAAGCAGATATTTTACCAAAAAAAAAATTCTTAGTTTCAAAATTTGATATGTTGTCTTTGTACTATTTATTTAAATATGGGGTTAAATTGATTTGCACATCATTAGATTCTGTTTTTATTTACATTTTGCACTGCATCTCAACTTTTTCAGAAAAGCTTTAGGTTAGACTCACAAACCTTTTTTATAATGAATGAAAAAAGCTCATTTCTTCAGAAAAATATTACATAACAATATTTTATCTTCATTGTTTAGGAACAAGTAAAGAACAGAAGCAAATAAATTCAGTACTTTACATGATTTTAGCAAAGAAAAAAATCAAAGTCACAGATACTGTTAATGCTTAATCTGCCTGCTCTGTATCATTTAGCCACATGTTCTCATTCACATCACACCCAAAATGGGTTCTTATGGCCCATCATGGACTTCACTTGAAAAACTGCTCATAAAAGGTTAAGGTTAAGGTTTATGTTAATGTTCATTTCATTTTCACCTTTTCCACCAGGATGGATCAGATGGCACCACACCTGCAAAAGTACATTGAAGCAGCAGTAAAATCTAACCAAAAAAACACTGATGAGTTCTACTTCATGGTGGTTCGCTGCACAGAGGTAATTTAATTGTAAACTATTTTCATGGGTGCACAAAGACTGTTGTTACATCTTATGGCTACATCTTGTTTTTTTATATTAATTCCTTTTGTTAATTTCATGCCTTGCACCATGTAAATACCACAAGGGTGGGAAGGTGTACCAGGTTCACATTCACTGAGCATGCACAGTAGACCTGCTCTTAATAAAAACATTAACTGACACTCTAAAGCACTCATCTCTTCAGTCGGTCACTAAAAGTATATTCACTAAATTCTTATGAGCTACACTGGATTATTTTTGGTTAGCCCTTTAAACATGGTTTAATTTCTTATTCCTTCCAAAAGACACTGTAAAATTAGAACTAAACAGTTAAGGTAAGTAAAGTGATACCAACTGCTGCCACTTTGAGTCGGCAGATTTCTTCATCAATCACAGCAAGGCTTCAGTGCCTACAACTGTGCTAAAGTTGCCATAGCCTGTGGTCATCTTTACAGCAGAAAGGACCACTACAACACCGTGTTTAGCATGATAACCGCCTTGTTGGCACATCACTGCCACAATGTTATTTCTGGAAAAAAGACATGTGAACACTGCACATCACTAAAATCCAGCATGTTTAGTTTTGAAAAGCAAAAGCACATGCAGAGTTAAAGGTTAGTCTTAGTCCCAGTGAATCACAGGTGACATCAAGCCATGGTAACACTGAGTGGTCCTTGGTAGATGATTAATAAACTCTCAACAGATTATCAGTAACACATAAACAACATCAGTGAAGTAGCAGTAGTGAAACATCTGAATACACTGAAGTAAATATCTTGTAGACGTACAGCTGATATGTTACTTACATTAAGTAGATAAACTGTTGATATGTTACATGAAGTAGACTTGTGTGTTACTTCCATTACTCAAAACCTACCCAACTTAACCCAATCCCAACCCTAATCATGGGCCCAATCCTAAACCTAACCTTAACCTCAACCCAAAACCTAATCCTAACACTGACCTTAATCCTAACCTCTACAGAATGGTGTCAGCAGTGTGTCTATAACAGCGTATTGAGGATGTTGAGATGGTCTGTATTAAACCTGTTACATGTTCAGTGACCTCTTAAGTTAAATATCTACAGATATGAATATGGACTCTCCAAATACAATGAAAAACAGCTGAATTCAGCAGATTATAAACATATTTTATTGACACAGTTAATAAAAGCCTCGTAATAATCTACTGAATGTATTCACTGCTGCTACATCATTGATATGTTGTTGCTATGTTACTGCTGAGTGTTTATTTAATCTAAAAAAGAACATTTAAAAAAGTGTCACCCAAGCCTTAGATGTGCACTCAAATATTAAATCTTCATATCAAATCTTCTCTTCTTCTTGGCACAGCTGCTTGGTTATAGTCAAGACCGCCTTTGTTGAGTCCAAACCATGACTAGTCAAAACTGAGTCAAGACCAAGTCTGAAAGGGTCCAAGTTCAAAAAAAGTGAGATCATGTCAAGACCACAACCCAGAAATCAAGCCCTCTTCAAGACCAGACCTTAGTTAGTCTTTATGTTCTTGTAGTAATTTTACTGGAAAAATGTAAAAGAATTTTCAAAACCAGTATGCCCATATCATGAAATATGAAAAAAGTGTGATTAAAAATAACAGCTTATCGTTTTTTCTTGACTAATTCTATTAATTTACTTGGCTATTTCAAATAATCCTTGTTTGTCATCAAAATCATTTGAAGATGTTTTCTGATTCTTTTCAGACAGAAATGAATGTCAAACTAAAGCCTTTAAATTAGAAAATCAATCAATAATGCTTCACACATGACACCAATAACCTTTCTTGTCCTTTTAAATGCTTAGATCATCTCCCTCTTGTACAATACATTACAGTACAGTAGGGTTTAAACTAGTGAAATTGTATCTCTGTGCAACGCTTTACTGCCATGTTCAGTACCACGCAATAATATTTTTAAACATGCTTTTCAAACTACTAGTAAAGTCCAGTCTTCCTACCTACCATAACTAACCGACTTAACACTGATTAACAAAGTATAATAGACTACAGATACTGTTAGCTAGCTAGGTGCAAAAATGTGTCTTTAAACAAATAAACATTTACCAACAGCCAGTAAGTAAAAAAGTGTTTTTTTCCTCCCAACAGCTGTTTCCAGCTACACAAACCCGGCTAGTTACATCTGCAACAGAATGATTTAAATCACTTCAGCACATGGATTTACCGAGTTAAAACATTAAGAAATAGCAGGAATGACCAATTCTTACATGCTTGTGAAAAAATGAATTTTTTAATAGTAGCTGAATTTGGTTGAGATCAGAAAAAAAATTGGCGAGACCAAGTCCAAGTACAAATGCTACTGAGTCTGAGACAAATCAGAAACAAGAAATGTTCAGACCCAAGTCCAAAACAGAACCCAAGTACTACAGCTGTACTAATGACCAACTAAAATTATTAAATAAAAAACAAAATCAAATAAAACAAACAACTAAAAGAGGTGTAAACAAAAATGAACTAAGAACCAACTAATATCAAATAAACAGTTCTGGGCTGAGTGGAGGTATATCATTCATAGAGTATGCAATGATGAGCACTGTAAAGGTTACCAATGCTAACGCATCTAAAGAGCAGTGCATCCAAGATTTCAGAATATTAGCAGACATAATGTCAATATATCACATTTCTAATAAATAACAGATAATAATGTTTCCTCAACAATCCTTTTCCTGTTGTGCATCAGGAAAGAGATTTTTATTTCAAAAGGTGTCAAAGGTGTCAAAAGTATCAAAGACACAAAAAGTGTCAAAGACCTCCAGTTGCTCTGATGTCTGGCTAATTTGAGTCAAGCTTTTGCTTCCCTCTGCTTGAAATTTATGGACAATTCAAGTGAATGTACACAGTGTGAACTTAAACATGGATAAACCATGAAATAAAACAACTATGTAAATTAATTACACTGCATTGTGTAGTTGTGAAATGTATCCATCATGTCTTAACATTTTTCTTCAAGGATCAAATACAAGCATCTGCCCATAAGGCCTTGACAGCAAAAGCCATCGAATGTCTGAACATGGACTTCTCATCATTTGAGACATCAGACAGTGAAGTAACATTTGATCTCTTGCACAACATTGCCAAAATAAGATTTGCTGTTTCAGTTGCAGCAGATGTTATTGGAGTTTTGGTCCAAACGCAAGGTGAGTGTTACTGTTTTTTTTTTTATTTCTATTTCTTTCTTTCTTTCTTTCTTTCTTTCTTTTTTTTTGGGGTCCTCACCCTTTCATTATTTTATCAAGATTATTCTGCTCCACAGTAAAAACAAATGCCTAATCTTTGTTGTATTTATTATTTAGATAAAGTTGAAGATGAAACAGATCTTCTTTTCTGGAAACTACAAGAAGTTGTAACAAAAAATCCATGGGCTCGGATATTCTTGCTTCGGAATCTGTGCAATAAGTTTGACTTGAAAATCATTGAAAATGTTCAGTGTAATGAGAAACTGAGCTGGGTTGTGCCTGAGGGACTTCGAGCCACAATGGTATAGTTCATTTAATATAATGGGAGCTATTAAATATGTATTGTTCGACACTGCCACATTTTTTTAATTAAACAACTGCTTAATTACATGAAATGACAAATAATAAGACTCCCCTGTGGATTGAACTTTTGGTGAGCTGCTTGAGAATGAAAATAATTTCCAGACAATTTCATTTTCATTTAAGATTTTAGACAAAGCATCAGACACTGAAGTTCTTTCACTATGGTTTATGTTACAGTAGAAAGTAAAAAAAAGTAAAAAAAAATCTTAACCTTTGAAAGAGATGTGTGTTAAATAATGCTCTGATGTCACTATTTATTTGGATGCAATATGTTGTACCTTTTTTACAGGATGAAACTGACTGTACTGACAAATTCCTTGCATATGGAGCAAAGTACACTGATGTTGTGAACACATACAATTTGAAAGAGGTGAGCTTTTTTAAATATTCATAATGTGTAAAGTAGGATTTCAGATACTCCAATAGTTTTCTAAACTATCAAACAACAGTATGTCCCATTCTAGACAAGTCAAGAAATTTTTGATTTCAGACTGTCATACATCATGTATTATTATGTCATACATAATAATACAACACAGCATTTATCAGTCAGATCAGAGTACATTCCAAATTGCATAAGCACTTCACATATTTACGCTTAATATTAACATGCCCATTTCTGCCTCTTTACATCTTCATGGAGAATTATGGAAAATGCTTGGTCACTTCCATGTTAGTTTGTCAACTATTCTATCAGAAGTGTTGCCAGATAAATAAATGATTTAATTAAGTAATTCATTTTTTAACATTCCTGGATCGGGGCCTTGTCGAGGCGGAAGGGCTTGTGTGGTCTAGGGATCTTCAGAGCTAAGTCGTCGGGAGCAACATGCTCCTGGTAGGGTCTCCCAGGGCGAACAGGTCTGGAGTGAAGACCCAGACTAACTCGATCCAAAAATCCTCTATGAAAAATGGACACATACAATCGTGTACCCTGCCCAGGAGAGGGTCACCGGGACCTACCCCTGGAGCCAGGCCTGGGGGTAGCGTCCTCCGGCGAGCGCCTGGTGGCCGGGCAGCCCACATAAACCAGCCGGGCTCAGCCCGAAGAGGCAACGTGGGGGGACCATGTGGGCCCACCACCCGCAAGGTCCAGCATGGGGGAGCGGTGCAGTGCCATATAGGCAGTGGGAGATTGCGGGGGGGCCCTGCGGCAGAAACTGGCTCTTGGTACGTGGAATGTAACCTCACTGGGGGGAAGGAGCCGGAGCTTGTGTGGGAGGTTGAGAGGTACCAACTAGATGTAGTTGGGCTCACCTCCACCCACAGTGTCAGCTCTGGAACCAAACTCCTTGATCAGGGTTGGTCCCTCTCCTACTCCGGGGTTGCACAGGGTGATAGGCGCCGGGCGGGTGTGGGGATACTCACGACGAGAGGGTCGCCTCAATGCGAATTAAAATGGCAGAGAGGAAAACTCTGACTGTTGTGTGTGCTTATGCACCAAACAGCAGGTCGGAGTATTCGGCCTTCTCGGAGCAAGTGGGTGGGGTTCTGGAAAGGGTCCCACCTACAGACTACATAGTCTTACTGGGAGACTTCAATGCTCATGTTGGCAATGACTGGGAGACTGGAGAGGCGTGATTGGGAAGAACGGCCTGCCTGATCTAAACCCGAATGGTGAATTGTTATTGGACTTTTGTGCCAGGCATGGATTGTCCAAAACGAACACCAAGTTCGAACACAAGGATGTTCATAAGTGTACATGGTACCAGAGCTCCTTGGGTCATAGGTCAATGATCGACTTTGTTGTCGTTTCATCTGACTTGGGACCATATGTTCTGGACACTTGGGTGAAGAGAGGTGCTGAGCTGTCAACCGATCACCATCTGGTGGTGAGTTGGATCAGTTGGCAGGGAAGACTGATGGTCAGACCTGGTAGGCCCAAGCGAATAGTGAGGGTGTGCTGGGAACAACTGTCGGAGGCTCCTGTTCAGAAAGATTTTAGCTCCCACCTCCGGGAGAGCTTTTCTCATGTCCCGGAGGAGGTAGGGGACATGGAGTCTGAATGGACCCTGTTCAAAACCTCCATTGTGGAAGCTGCCAGGCGTAGCTGTGGCCAAAAGCTTGTTGGTGCCTGTCAGGGCGGTAACCCAAGAACCCCCTGGTGGACACCGGGGTGAGGGAGGCCGTCAAGCTGAAGAAAGAGGCCTTTAGGGACTGGATGGCCTGAAGGACTCCCGACTCAGCGGATAGGTACCGACAGGCGAAAAAGGTGGCAGCCGCAACGGTGGCAGAAGCAAAATCCAGGGCGTGGGAGGAGTTTGGAGAAGCCATGGAAAAAGACTTTCGGTCGGCCTCAAGGAGGTTCTGGACGACTGTCTGGCAACTTAGGAGCGGTCGGGGTGGCTGCGCCCAAGCTGTGTTCGGCAGGGGTGGGGAAGCTCTGACTTCAAATGAGGATATTGTCGGTCTGTGGAAGGAGCACTTTGAGGAACTCCTTAATCCAGGAGATATGCCTCCCTCACGGGAGTCAGGGCCAGAGGCTTCTGGCGTGTCAAGCTCCATTTCCCTGGTGGAGGTCACTGAGGTAGTTGGCAAGCTCTTCAGCGGCAAGGCACCTGGGGTGGATGAGATTCGCCCGGAGATGCTTAAGGCTCTGGATATTGTGGGGCTGTTGTGGCTGGCACGCCTCTGCAATATTGCATGGACCTCGGGAACGGTACCCTTGGACTGGCAGACCGGGGTGGTGGTCCCTATTTTTAAGAAAGGGGACCGGAGGGTGTGTGACAAACTATCGGGGTATCACACTGCTCAGCCTCCCTGGGAAAGTCTATGCCAAGGTGCTAGAAAGGAGACTTCGACCGATAGTTGAACCTCGGCTTGAGGAGGAACAATGCGGATTCCGTCCCGGCCGTGGAACAATGGACCAGCTTTTCACCCTCTCACGGATTGTTGAGGGGGCATGGGAATTTGCCAACCCAGTCTACATGTGTTTTGTGGATTTGGAGAAGGCTTACGACTGTGTTCCCCGAGATATCTTGTGGGAGGTCCTCTGGGAGTATGGGGTGCCAGGGCTGCTACTCTGGGCCATTCAATCTCTGTACTCCCGGAGTGAGAGCTGTGTTCGTATACTCAGCATTAAGTCGGACTCTTTCAGTGTTAGCGTTGGACTCCGCCAGGGTTGTGCCCTGTCTCCACTCCTGTTCGTGATATTCATGTACAGGGTGTCAAGGCGTAGCCGTGGTCAGGAGGGCATTATGTGTGGAGGCCGAAGATTGGCGTCTCTGCTATTTGCAGATGATGTTGTTCTTTTGGCTGGATCACATGGATGCCTCCAGCGTGCACTGGAGCAGTTTGCAGCTGAGTGTGAAGCGGTTGGTATGCGGATCAGCACCTCCAAGTCCGAGTCCATGGTCTTAGCCCAGAAAAGGATGGCATGCCCACTCCAGGTAGGGGGGAAGGACTTGCCCCAGGTGGAGGAGTTTAAGTATCTTGGGGTCTTATTCACGAGTGATGGGAAGAGGGATCATGAGATCGTCCGCAGGCTGGGACAGGCGGCAGCAGTAATGCCGTCGCTGTACCGGACTGTAGTGGTGAAGAGGGAGCTGAGCCGTAAGGCGAAGCTCTCTGTTTACCGGTCTGTCTACATCCCGACCCTCAACTATGGTCATGAGCTATGGGTAATGACCGAAAGAATGAGATTGCGAATACAAGCGGCGGAAATTAGCTTTCTTCGCAGGGTGGCGGGCTACACTCTATTTGACAGGGTGAGGAGCTCGGCCATCCGGGAGGAGCTTGGAGTAGAGCCGCTACTCCTCCGCATTGAGAGGAGCCAGCTGAGGTGGTTCGGGCATCTGATCCGGATGCCCCCTGGACGCCTCCTGGTGGGGGTGTACCAGGCACGGCCTACCGGGACAAGACCCCGGGGTCGTCCTAGGACGCGCTGGAGGGATTATATCTCCAGGTTGGCCTGGGAGCGGCTTGGGGTCCCCGGGAATGAGCTGGAGGAAGTTGCGGGGGACAGGGTCGTCTGGGATTCTCTGCTCTCCCAACTGCTACCGCGACCCTAGCTGGACTAAGCGGTTAACGACGATGATGATGATGATTTTTTTAACACGTCTTTGTATGGTAATCTGATTATGTTGATGAGGCTTAAATGACATTTCTGGTGATCCAGAATCCATTACATGTTTGGTTACAAACCTGTTAATCCTTTGTTTTTTTCTTCTACACACAGAAGGCAACAGAAGACAGTAGCCTAGTGTTCTCGGTTTGTGCAGCTCTGGCAGCAGTGAGGCAGATTTTGCATGATAAAGAAAGAACCTCACTGGTATGGTGCACAAGTACATGTTTGAACACTTATATCAGAGCGTAATGTGTGCTTCACTTTGATCAGTATGTGCTCTACACTACATTACAGATAAAGCAAGTGGAGATGGTGTCGAAACAGAACAAAAAATGGCAGAATCTGTCTGCAGTCTGTAAGAGCGTGATGCAGGGTGGACTCTCCAAAGTCTCAAAGGAGCTTTGCCTCTCACACAACTCCAGCCTGACACCAGTCATTCTCCATACTGTTATTGTGGTAAAGCAGTCCACAGCTCCAGAGATGAACTTCCTGAACACTCTTTGTTCCCAGCCAAGAAAACTTAAGGTATTTTTATTGCATTCAAACTAGTACCTTTAGAAGTGATAAAAAACCCATAGATAATCATCATGTTTTGTGATTTTCTTCATTGTAATTTTCACATATTTTGATTATGGAGTTTGAAAATGGCCAGTTAGAATACCTGATTTTGGTAAGGACTCACCTGAGCTATTTTTCTAGGCTGGTATTATAGAACATCTAGTATAATCTTCTTATGAGATCAGGCTCTGTCTCATTTTCTTAAGGTTATGCATAGATTGACCGTGACAATATGTGCCGCCATTCAGAGACCTCCAGCACTGCTCTGTTTCTTTAGGAGTCACAGCACCAGTATTTTGCTGCTACTGCATTAAATTAAACCCAGAAAGAAAGCATAAAAATGCAGCAAAAATATGGTGAAATTTGCAACATACATTTGTGATAATCGATATAAATTGATCCTTACCATCTTTACTTCAGTGCTCAGTGAACAGAGCAACTGCATGCACAAAGCATGAGTTTATGTTCCAAGTTTATTTTAGAAGCATGAACAAAATACACTCAAGTGGACTGTTTCACATCTTACTTAACCTACCGATTTCCCATAGTGTTCTGGCGATATGGAGCCGATGCTGCATAATAGTCACATTCTAGTACTGAAGCTACGTGCGTGCTGACAGAACTCACTCTAGGCAGGCCGCTGGAAGTAGTCAAAACTTACCTTTGAAATGGTTCATTTTAACTTGTGTGACAAAAAGATAATGGTGTTAACTAGAAAGGTGATTGTGCAGCTAAGCAATTCCTTGATATTGCCAGAGTGATGCTAGATGGTTACTATGGTGTTTCAGGTGTTTACCATGGGATTGCTTCTTGTTTGCTATGGTATCCAAGTGGTTGAAGAGTGTTGCTAGTTAATTGCTATAGTATTCTGGGTGGTTTCTAGGCCGTTGCTAAGGAGTTGCTATGGTGGTTACTAGGCTATTGGTAGGTGGTTTGTATGGTATTTCAACTGGTTTCCAGGTGGTTAATATAGTGTTCCAGAGCGTAATGTGTGCTCCAGATGGTTGCTAGGATATTGCTAAGCAATTGATAAGGTATCCGAGGTTACTAAAATGTTACTAGGTGGCTGCTGCAGTGGTTGCTATAGTGTTGCTATTTGGTTGCTATGATATTTTAACTGTAATTGTGACTCTCTCTCAGGTTGCTGTCTAACAGCTAAGTGATCTGTGTTATAGTGATCAGAGATCTGTGTGTGCAAACAGAAATGAAGAAAAGTTTTGAGGAAGTTTGATATTACAAAATGTTACATGCAGCAAAATAAACAGCCTTTGTGCACAAATATGCACAACAAAACATTTAATTTGACCAGGGGAGCCCAAATAAAAAATATATTTAGAGTGACTAAGTTTAGAACTAGGCCAAAGTGGTGCCTCACATCTAAAGTTTGGAGGAAATAAGATTAGTCCCTGTGTTATATCAAATTATATTTGTGTTATATCAGTAATAAAAATAAACCAAAAACCTCCATAAAGCTATTTGTTGGATGGATTTGATGAGGATAAGTATAATTATTTTGATGAGGATAAGTATAACTTCAAATGCATATGATACTTTCATGTACTTTTTTTAGTATTTTACATATAAATTTTGGAAATATGTAAGTGTATAGTTTAAATATATATTGTTCTTATGTGGCATGAGATTACTTGAGGTTACATGATGCCGTAACTGACAAGATGGTTTAACATTGACAGAAAAGTTTTATTCCAACAATGCCAGACACTCAACAAGAGATGGAAGGACTGAAAACACCCAGTTCAACAGAGACTTTCTGGGGTAAGTCTAAGACATTTTATGCATGTTAATATTTTGTTCAAGGAAAATCCTACATATTTAATTGAACATGTTTAAAATCATTGATGCAGTAAGGTGCATATGCTTTGGTCATGATTGTATTTTCATGTTTCTAGTCAAAATATAGATTTTGATTTTATATTCTAAACAATACCAATGGCTAGGAGTCCAAAAGACCATAATTGGCCTGACTGGTGTCTGATAGTTGATATAATAAAATGGGAACTTTGCATTCTCATCCAGGGGTGATGAGCTACCTAATGACATTTTGTTAGCAGCAGTTTAAAAAAAAGGGGTGGCTGTAGTTGTACTGTATTCTTTAGCTGTGATAACATGTCCGCTACTACTGTAGATTTACAGAATAACATTGTGTTTTTATGGCAGCTGCTGTGATTTTGGTAACAGATGAGTAATAAGTAGAAAATAATTACAGCAATAATATGGTAAAATATATACTCATCCATACATTATATGTCTGATGAATATTCAATGAAAATTTTGTGGAATTATTATGGAATTAATACATTATAATGAAGTTTGTTTTGTTCACTCATGTAAGTATATCAAAACATGCTGCTTTTTAAAAAGAAAAAAATCTTTCTTTTAGTCAGATTTGAGCAAATAAGATAAATGTGATTAAATACAATTAACCACATTAATTAAAGTGATTATTCACTATCAAATATCAAATATATAAAATTTAATGGTGCTAAGCACCCTTTCAGCAAAGTGGATATACTGATGAACCACATATTACAACTGAATACCCTATTTTACTATTTTATTACTAACGTGTCACACTATAATTATACATTTAATGATATTAAATATTAATATAAATTTATTTATGCAAAAATATAACTTGTAACTATAGTAATGTCATCATATTATCCATCCTTTAAAGTCATTATGATTAATGCTTTCTTCATAAGTGTCTCATACTTCAGTACTGTATATGTACATTATTACAGTAAACTATGTGTACAGTTCAAATGTTTAAAAATCCAGATACAGTTCAAAGTTCAAAAACCCAGATACAGTCCTTTAATATACATCTGTTTGAACTTGAGTGCAAATATGGTTATTAAAGTGTCAATATTAATTGCATCTTCTGTTAGTATGTATCTATTTTCTCAAACACTTTAACATCTTTATGAATAATTGAATTAAGTAATTTCTGAACAGAATATCTAGATTTCTCTGCAAAGTATGCCATTTAATGTATGCATTCTACCTCTGTTTATACTAGAGTGCCAGTGTGGCGTGCCAGTCTTGATTGAAAATGTAAGTACAACATACAGTATATTCTTAAAACAGGGGAAAAACACCAAAAGTCCTCCTAAAGTCCACCTTAATAAGTAAACCTATGGCAACACTTCAGTATATGGAGACATTATTTAATGCCCTTACAGCACCATTATTAAGCCTTTTAGGTGTCACTATTTGCTATAAAGATCTTACTTTTTATATGGGCAGTTTTTATATAGAGGTAATTGGTGATCTACTATTGTAAAAAAAATGTTTTGAGAAGAAAATTAATGAACAGTTCTGATGGAATACAATGTAACTATTTGGTATTACAGAATTTATTAATAACAATAACACCACAAAAAATTGAGACATGATTAATTATTAATATTTCTACTGGCTCAAAACTTACAATAACAAACATAGAAGATGTATGTTTTTAATTACTAGTATTTTTAATTACCACAATGTTTAAAATATTTAGCATTTGAAGTGCAAGTGGGTTTATAAGGTACATGGGTTTTTAGGGACTTTTCTCCTTAATAAAATCATGATATTTTGAATTCCTGATATGCTTTTTAATGTTAAGTATGATCTTATCCTCTGCTTTTCTTGTAGTGTGGGAGACCTTGGGTTATTGCACTTTGCCCATACTGTAAAAGAATGATTGGTGGAGAGATTCATAAACCAGTCCATGGTTTCACTAAGCTGCAGTATGTATGATGCTGTTTGTCTTAGTTCATAGGAAAATAATCAAAATACATACTTCTGTTTTAGAAATTGGTGTATCTATAGCTATGTATAATTTGCCAATGCATATATTTGTATCTCTGCATTCTTTCAACTTCCATTTTAAGGATGTCTGCTGATGATCACATGGGTTATATTTTGGGAGATGCCAGCAACCGCATTTACGCAGGCTGTGAGAGAGACTTGTCTGGGGCTTCTCTGTGCCTTGTCCGAGCACTCATCCACTCCTGTCTGCTCTGGGGAGCAATTGATAATCACAAGGTACAGCAACATCAACAACAACAACATTTATTTGTGTAGCTCTTTTTACAACTAGTGTTGTCTCAAAGCAGCTTTACAGAAAAGGAGTTTATAGAAGGATCAAAAGAATAAAAAATAAAATAAAAAAAAAATAAAAAAGGAGTCCATGTATAGACATAAAGAACTGAATTCGGGTCCAAGCCCCCCATGAGCAAGACTGTGAGAGTGAGAGAGACTGATTAATAGGACAGACAGGTAGATATTGCAACTTGTCATAAGATTTAGTGCTTGTAAATCCTGGAGAATAATTCCACGATGCTAGAAGCTCCTTAGTGTTCAAAAATAATCCATCAGGATCAAGCGGAGAGGACAGTCATCAGCCCATAGAGAAGAAAGAAGGAGAAAGAGCAAGAGAGAGGCAAACAATTTGTAAGTTAAGTCTGTTTATGGAGAGATGTTAGAGAGCAATAGTGCAAACAACTGATATTAGCAAAATGCAATAAAACCAATATTGACACAACCAATAAAATCAATCTTGATTGACTCAACAAACAATAAAAGCTATCCAGTTTATTCCTACGTCCAAAATATCCATGAGCTTCATCCAAACTGCACCCTTCTCTGGACCGCAACTGCTTACCGGTGAGCCCTGATGGACGAATTGCGTCTTCCATACTGATGTATTCCGCTCTGTCTCGGCTCCGGGCGGAGGTAAACAAACCTGCTTTTGGCACCGTTGTTTGACCCTCAACTCTCGCAGCTGCGCAGACCACATGACTGTGTCACGCTCACCCTACGCAATGTTGTCACGATTCCTACGTATATTCTACATGACGTCGTCACCCCTTCGCGCCATTCCAACCCGTTCCACTGGCCACCAGTTCTCCTCTCTCTTGCCCATGTCTTTCCACCTCCCTTATATTCCCCTCTTTTCTCTCTAGCATGAGGCTGAACTTCCTGTCCCTTATCATGTCTTGCATCTACTCAGCTGGACGCAGTGCTTTATTTTGTTAAGCTTTTTTCGCTGTTCGTATGTCTGTTTTCCTGCTTCCTGCATACTTCGCTAGTTTTATTCTGCTGTGTATGTTCTTAATGGGGACTCACTCATTCAATCCTATCGTATTGTCCTCACTGCCAATGTAATGTAATGTGGATAGAGCCACTTAATTTCCTTATCTTCTATTCCATGTAGTGTTGCGTTATTTAATGTTACATGCTCAATCTACTGATCCAAGCACCTCCCCCTTTCTATGGGATTTTTTTTTCCATCCCACTTCCACCCGTTTTCATCCCTTCCCTTTATCATCCCTCCCCTTCCCTTTACCATCCCTCCCCTTCCCTTTACCATCCAACTCCCTCCCTTTATCATCCCTCCCCTTCCCTTTATCATCCAACTCTCTCCCTTTATCATCCAACTCCCTCCCTTTATCATCCCTCCCCTTCCCTTTATCATCCAACTCTCTCCCTTTATCATCCAACTCCCTCCCTTTATCATCCCTCCCCTTCCCTTTATCATCCAACTCTCTCCCTTTATCATCCAACTCCCTCCCTTTATCAGCCAACTCCCTCCCTTAATCATCCCTCCCCTTCCCTTTACCATCCCTCCCCTTCCCTTTACCATCCAACTCCCTCCCTTTATCATCCCTCCCCTTCCCTTTATCATCCAACTCTCTCCCTTTATCATCCAACTCCCTCCCTTTATCAGCCAACTCCCTCCCTTTATCATCCCTCCCCTTCCCTTTATCATCCAACTCCCTCCCTTTATCATCCAGCCCCCTCCCTTTATCATCCCTCCCCTTCCCTCATCATCCCAGTGTCTCTCTCTCACTCTCTCTCACTCTCTCTCTCTCTCTCTGCATCACGCACTTTCACCCTCTCATCCTTTTCGTCCTGCAACTCCTCGCTCCACTCGGCTCCATCTTGGATCGGCATCATCTCGGATTGGCTCCTGTAACCCAGCTCTGAAACTCCCTTCTGAGACTACATGGCTCCATCTCAGCCCACTCTATCTCAGATTGGCTCCTGTAACCCAACTCCGTCTCGGATCAGCTCCAGCAACTCAGCTCTGCAATTCCCTTCTCGTGTCAGGTTCAGCTCCTTCCTGGTTCAGCTGTGACATGTCTCAGCTTTGCGACTCATCTCTTCACTTGGCTCCATCTTGGATTGGCTCCATCTCGATTCAGCTCCAGCAACCCAGCTTTGCAAGTCCTTTCAGGCTCTTCATGGCTCCATCTCAGCCCACTTCATCCCGTATCAGCTTCTGCAACTCAGCTCTGCAACTCCCTTCTCATGTCAGGTTCAACTCCTTTCTGGTTCAGCTGTGATGTGTCTCAGCTTTGTGACTCATCTCTCCACTTGGCTCCATCTCGATTCAGCTCCAGCAACCCAGCTCTGCAATTCCTTTTTGACTCTACATGGCTCTATCTCAGCCCACTACATCTTAGATCGGCTCTGGCCAACCCAGCTCTGCAGCTCCTTTCTGGCTCTTCATGGCTCCATCTCATCCTGGCTTCAACTCAAGTTAAACTCCTTGTTCAGCTGTCTCAGCTCTGCAGCTCCTCACTCCATCTCGAATTGGCTCCTGCACAACTCTGCTCTGCAGCTTATTTCTGTCTTGACTTTGCTCCATCTTGGATCAGCTCGCTTACAATTAGCTTTACAACTTGTTACGGATTCCACTTAGCTCTATCTCAGATCAGCTCCTATGCAGCTCAGTCCTGCATCTTGTTTCTGGCTTCACTCAACTCCATCTCAGATCAGGTCCATCTCAGATCAGCTCATACATTCCTTAGTTCTGCATCTCATTTCTGACTCCTCTTGGCTTCAATTCGAAGCAGATCCCATGCACCTCAGCTCTGCAGCTCCTTTCTGAATCAGTTTGGCTCCATGTCAGATCAGTCCCATCTTGGATCTGCTCCATCTGAGATCAGCTCCATCTAGGTTCAGTTCCAACGCAGTCAGCTCCACAACTCAACAGTCTTACCTCGGTTTTACCTCAGATCAGCTCCGTCTTGGATGGGCTTTATATTGACTCAATTCCATTTCTTTATTTTTCTCTCTGACTGGACCATTATTGGTTTGTTTGAAAATGCTGCCTGTATCCTGCTGCTCTCCTAGTCTCTTTGGCCGTTCTCTGCCACCGCTGATTTGACTACTCTCATGCTGTTACCTTTACTCTCATCCCGTTCAGCTCTCAGTCCTGGGAGCTATGTCCTTTTGCCATCATACGTTTTTGGGGGCTTAAACTCCAAGCAAGTCATCAAGTGATTCTCATCCAATGTTATAACTGAACAACCGTGATGTTGCCAGCAGGATTTTCCATGCCAAACTACCTCCTGCAGTGGCCAGATAATCATCCAGTTGCCTCAGTCATCAAGCCCTTCAACCCTTGTATGGACCAGCTACCTCCAACAGCCATTCCTGCTTCATGTTAATTTCATTCAGTATGTAATCTGCCTTATTATCATTCTAACCCATTTGCCTGCCACATTTAACACAATCTTCACAATCCGGTGTCGATCAGAGGAGGATGGGTTCCCCTGTTGAGTCCTGGTTCCTCTCAAGGTTTCTTCGTCACTGGAGGAAATAAAAAAATCAAAAAAGATCTGCAAATCAAAATCTGCTCCATTTTTAGCAACCACTTACTCCAACGCCATACAAGGGGCCCATGTTACTAGACCTTTTCTCTGCCTAAACCTCTCTACCTAACCATACTATGCCTCAGATACACAAATGCTAGACTGTCTGACCAATCTCATTCTGAATCCAGCTTCTCCATATACCGCTGGCATAGTCTTACCACGTTTTCTACCCAAGCTGCTACAGTTGTTATTTCAGAACCATCTTTTCTCTTCATGCGATAATCGCTCAGTCCTAGACCTCAACAGCTTTTGAGTTCATCTTGGAGCCTTTTGGGGATCTGGCCTTCTAGCTGAAGGCAGAAGGTGCCCAGAACTCCAGCCCAAGTTCTCAGTTCTCCCCCCTCCCTCAATCAGTTCTCCCTCATACTACCAGCACCTGTTGAAGGCATGGTCCGAACTCACAAAATGTAGTTATGTTATAAGTGAAGTTTGGGGGGAGGAACATGGCTGAAACCCCTCCTTCTTTCAATCCAACTCCCTATAAATTCACATCCTCACCTTCCGTTCCCATGACAGTGTTCGCAGAGCAGTGAAAATGGTGGTTGGTGTGGTGTAGTGCGTAACACCTCTGCCTTCTACATTGTAGACTGGGGTTCAATTCCATGCCTGTGTAAGCACCCTACACTATACCAATAACAGACCTTGGGCAAGACTCCTAATACTATCTTCGCTTACCTGTCTAAAAATGATCAAATTGTAAGTTGCTCTGGGTAAGGGCGTCTACCAAATGCCATAAATGTAAATGTGACAATTTCAGGAAGCAGTGCTTCATTCCACAGCAGAAAATATTCGTGTATTCTTCTACGAAGAATAAACATCCTTGGACACTGACATAAAAATAGAGGTAAACAAGTTATTGCTGTAGAATTATTCAGTTCATTGTAGTCTTTAAATGAAATAAAATGAAAAACTTTTTCAAAAATACAAAATCAAATCAAAGTCCACTGCAAAAAAAAAAACAAGCCAAAGTATTACAGAGAAAACGAGTATTAGTTTTTGTGTTTTCAGTGCATGCAGACAATATTGTCCAGGTAACAAATTCTTTATCTGTTTGCTTGGTAGTCCTAACAGTTGAGAACTACTACAATAGGTCAATATACTATAATATATTGCTACACAGTACATCATAAGTTACACAGTACATCATAATATAAGAGAGTAAGCATTCTACAATAAATACTAAAGATGCAAACAACAAGTTTAGTAACGTAATGTAAAGTTTTTCATGATTTGCTTGAATCTTTTGCTGTTAGGCCACAGCAGACCTTATAGCAGGATCTGCCGGTGATGTTGGAAGGTTTCTCTCTGATCACCTCCAAAAGGATATTGAGTTGCTTGGAAAGGCCCTGGGAAAGAACACTGAAAATGCTGAAATTGCAGTTCACATGTTCTTACGGTACATCATTGAAAGTGCCTCAGGTACTGAAATTAGATTTTATTACTTCATATTCCCTGATTATTCATACCATGGTGTGAGATTATTTTCCTTCCATTTGAAATATTTGATCTGATGTAATATATTTAAACTTTGTCTGATCCTGATTTCATTGCTATCAACTGGTAAAGGAAGTCCTGTTAATACACACATAACAGTGAAAATTTACCTAATTTATCCATTTTCCTGCCATAATCTCATTACTTGTTGTTGCCCTTTTTGGCAGAAATAAATGTATTTCTTATCATCTGTCAATCTCTTGAACCTTGGAGGAAGAATGCTTAAAGCTGGGCCTACGCTACATGAATTTTAGACCAATTTTAACTTTGTCTTTACTCTTCTGACAAAGTTTCACAATCTGAGTGATGTTTCAAGTCGCTATTTCGATTGTAAGCCATTGACAGTGTGGATGATCTGGTAGTGTGAGAGGAGAAACAAGCCGATCTTTAGCCCCCAGATGTTCCTTCAGAGTGATCAGAGGCCCTCTGATACAAACACTGTCATCCATGTAATTGAATGAGCAATTCAGGCAACAGCTGAAAAGAGCGCTAGAGGAGAGAAAAAAAGGCGAAGAGACGTGAGAGCTTTTCACTGCTGAAATGTATTATGGGTGCTATTCCCCCTTTTTGCCTTATTGTCTAGTGTGCGTTCTGTAAGAGACTGACATTAAGTGTGTGATTCTCTCCATTTTCTAAATCTGTAGTACATGCCCAGCTTAAGAGCACATTTCCTAAAAGAGACTCAAATTACCAACAGACTACTGACAGTTTTAATCAGTTGGGGTGGTTCATTTAGCTGGTTATCTACTAAGTTTTCAAAGAGGCTTTGTCAAAAAGACAGTTTGGGGAAAAATGGAAAAAAAAAGAATAAAAAAATGTAGGAGCCAGATTTGAGTTTAAATTTATTTTCCTTGAGAGAGGCTTATTTTGATTTAGATTTAATGGCCTTTCACTTGAGACTGTTATTTTAACACTTGCCACATGATACACCACCAGTTAAGATGGCGTCTTCCTTAGGCACAGGTAGAGCCTCATAGCTTAGACATGGAAGACGCGAGTTTTTTACCGCTTATGCTTAACCTTCTACGAAATCATTATTTGTCATTTTGGGAACTTTGTACATTTGGAATCTGCACTTTAGAAACCCACCTTTTTGGTTACTTTGAAACTTTAAGCAATTTTGATTAAACCACTGTGTTATGCCTGCCCGCCCGCCCGCTTGCCCAATTTAATTTTTGGTCAATACAAAAATAATGAATGCGAATTTCCCCTTTGCCATTCACCCAAGACATGTTTTGTGTCTAAAGTTTGCTTCTTTATTTTTGTGCTGGAGATATGAGGCTAAAATAGCTAACAAGTAATGGAAGCTTGAACCCCACTAATTAGTCTATATTATAGATAACTGTATATGATACAGTGTCTAAAGCCACAATAAGAAATACTGAACAACTAAATCCTTAATGCGGTTTGAGGCATGTGTGTGATAATATACTCATGCAGTTTACACAATGCTAATTGTAAATGTTAGTAAATAGTAAATGTTCTTTCATACTGTTTATAATTGCTTTTGCACCATTTGTTTGTTTAAAAAATGGTATGTCTAAAACTATGCTTGTACTTCCACAGTCGACTGCAACATTGACTTTTGTACAACTGAAACCAGAGAGAAAAGAAATCAATGGGAAAATATGATGCAGTCTAGAACAAGAGCATTTTTCAAGGTACTTCTATTATTTATATATATAGTATTTCTAACTCTCTCTCTCTCTGTCTCTCTCTGTGTGTGTATTTGCATATATATATATATATATATAAATAATGCTATACATAGTTTGTATATAGGTTTTGGAACCCTTTGGCATTATGTAAATTTCTACGTAACTGTGATCTATAATGTAGTCAAGTCATAACAATAGAAAAAGAGAACCCAATAAAACAGATAAACAATTTTGCAGTTTGTTTAATTTACTGAAAGTATGTGAAGTATGTGAACCTTTGCTTTTGGTAACTGGTGTGACCCCTTTGGCAATGACTTCAACCAAATGGTTCCTGTAACTGTTGATCAGCCCTGCACATTGACTAAGAGGATTCTTGGCCCATTCTTCCTGTCAGTGGGCTTTCTTTCTGTATCTTAGGTCCTGCCACAACATTGGACTTTGACTCCAAATGCAGTATTTCCTCTGCTTTAAAAATACTTTGTAATTTGTATTTTTAGGAAATTTTAAACAGGCAAAACGTTCCTCCTAGAGAATAGTGACCTTTTCCATGTCTTCATTCCACACATAGTGTTCTTGTTCAGTGTTTGCCTGATGGTGGACTCATTGACATTAGCCAGTGTAAGAAAGGTCTGCAGATTCTTAGATGTTAGAAACCTGAGGTTCTTTGAGATCTCCCAGAATGTTGTATGCCTTAGTCTTGGAATCACTTTTTATTGGATGACCACTCCTGGAAAGGGTAACAATAGTGCTGATTTTTCTCCATGTATATGTTATGTTCCTGACAGTGGATCAGTGAAGTCCAAACTCTGTTTGTGGTTTTGGAACCTCTTCCAGCCTAATGAGCATTGACAAATGTTTTTCTAAAGTCTGCATAAAATCATGAAGATATGGGCCAGCAGCTTCAGTTAATGTTCACATCAGAATGGGGAAAAATGTGATCTCAGTGATTATGACTGTGGCATGATTTTTGGTGCTTGTTTGAATATTTCTGCCCTAGTATATTGTTTCTAATAAAGTGCTCAGTGAGTGTGTATATATGAGCAAGGCACAACTTGTGCATTTGGCCATTTTGTTTATAAGAGTATTATGAAGATATACAGATGGAATTTAAAGGGAAATATGTCAGCGTGTTGGATGAGTGTTACCATAAATTATATCACTTTGTCTGGATGCATCAGTATTCTCTCTCTATTATGTAGGCAGTGCAAGATACTAATACTAATTACTGCTTTTCATTGTAGGATTTTGAAAAAAATCTCTCTGAAGTGCACAACAACATTCTGAAATGGAGTGAAACAAACCCACTAGTAAACATTCTGTACAATGATGTGCCTAAAATGGAAGATCTGTCCACTGTTGGTCCTTTTAATTGCCCCCTTATGTGGAGGTATGAACAGAAGATGTCCATTCAGCTCCTAACACATCTGATTGAACAGGACAATTCTTCAAAGAAATATCCAATGCTTTTGGACCTTGTGAGAAAGGTTAGCAAAATCAATTCAATTCAAACCATTTTCTCATAATCATCAGCAATTTTAGAAGCACTTGCACCATAATTTATAAATCAATGGAATATCTTTAACAACATTATAACCATATTATGAAATACCCACACACAAATGTTTGCAACATTTCTGCATCTTGGATGTTTATAGCATGGACACATCAAGAACATCAGGCATCTCCCTCAAATCCTCAGCCTTCAACAAAAACTTATGCACCACTTTCGCTACGTTGACTCATCAGAGTGGGAAGATTTAACATTTGAGGAGTTCCTGACAACAGCACCACAAGGTATTATTTAAATCATTGTTGGAAAATGTTGAAGTTTATATTTTCTTTGTTGAATATTTGAATCCCTGACCTGATCTTTACTTTTTATTTTTGTTTTTCATTTAGTATTTGGAAAATTAAATCATTTGATAATACGTCACACATCATAATACGATAACACGTCATAAAATTATTTATTCACTTATAATATACAAGGTCATACTGTGTAAGACATGTTAAATGTATAGTAGTGTGCAGAGGTTTTAGGCACCTGAGAAATTTAAAAGCTATTTAATCGTCAGTTAGCACTAATACAATATGAAGTGATTTTATGTATACTGAACAAAAATATAAAAATATATTTTACAGCAAACTACGTCTTTCACTATTATAATACCAGTTTATTTTATTACAACTGGCATGTGTATTTGAAGACACGCAACATGTTTCAACCTCAGATTTTAAATCAAACCTCTTTCATTAGCTCTGCCGTTGTCAGTTAGCATTGGAGTCAGTCGCAGAGCCTTTCAGTTATTTTGTGGTTTCTGGTAAAATGCACAGCTCTGTAACACAGTCATCTTACATCCTCAAGAAAACTGCTTACATTTTTTCCAACAAATGCATTTTCAAACTGGTCCAATTCGGCTGGCAACCCTGTCAATGGGTCCACGTACTGAACCAAACACTTCACAACGTAACCAAAGGAAAGTGAAAGTGAGCACACAGTAAAACCTAATGAGTTCAGTGAACTTAAAAGATTTAAGGAAACCGATTGCCTTAAACCATTTAAGCTTAGGCTACTCAAATCATTTGACCATGAGTAGTTCCACGAACTGAGTATGAACAACACATTTGTTTATTATTGTATACACTTAAGTAAATTGAGTAAATCACTCCTCTGATCTTAAAAGGATTGCGTATTTTGGACTTACATAATAACGGTACTAACTCACTACAGTTAAGTAATTCTAACTTAAATTTACTGCCTTCACCCAACTCTAGCCACTCAAGTTCAGCTAACTCAGTTTCTTCCATACAAATTAATACAGAATAGCAGGACATTTTTAACAAGAATGCCTTAAACAGTTTAACTTAATACTGCTCTGGACCATCTCGCCCAATACTGAATATTTGGCCCAGAATCCAGAAGAGGTCTGAAGTGTTTGGAACCACACTCAGCAGGTGGGGTCATGGCTGCTCAGCTTACTTTAAACTGACTTACAGTTAGTGCTGACTGAGAGTAGATGAGCTCCCAAAATTTTAAAATAAGTAAGCGCCCAAGGGAAGTTAGGCTGGGGAGAATGACTACACAGAGGTGGTAGGTTAAACAAGGTGGAAAGACACATCCAATATGCCACCAACAGCCAATAGGAATGATGCAAGTTTTACTCAAGGTTGCACTGACCAAGCTTTCATCGCGTAAAGCTGAGAATCTTAACAAACTAAACTAAACTGCAAGAGGTTGATTCAGCTCAAAGATCCCATTTAAATGTCCAAAGATGTCAAAAGTTACATGTAAAGCACGAGAAGTCCAAATCATTTGAATGTTAACCCAACCCTGTCTGTACCCACCTGTACAAATAAAATAAAAAAAAATACAAAAATAAATAAACATAGTGAACATAAAACACTTGAATAAAGTTACCTTAACTCAAAATATGCTAACAAATGATTTTACTCAAATGACTGAGTCACTATCTCAAATTCATTTTTGAGTTGGTTTGAATTTGTCAGATTAAGTTACTTCAATTTTCTGTGGTATTTAAGTTGTGTTGGGCAAAATACTGTTCAGTCTGTCGGACTTATGCATATATCTTAACTAATTTAGGATTGTACACGAAATAGTTTGTGTTACTAGATTTGCATTAGTAAGTGTAAAAGATGAGTAAAGTAAACCCAAAAAAATAAGTTCATATATGGATGCAACCTTAAAACATCCATAGAAGATAGAAATGGGTGATAGTCATTCTACAAGGGTTTTTTTTTCTTTTTTTGCCTTTTGGGGGTGCGATGTTGGGGGATTGCATTCTCTCGCACCCCTCCTCAAATTGAAACCTGTGTATATATGTATGTTCATGTTTGACTAGGAGATTAACTTGTTAAAGCATTAATTCATTAGTTAATATTCTAATTTTACTTATGCAAGTACTAAAACCTGTACATATATTTTAGTAGAATTGCCTACAGTTTGAAACCTTATATTTATTCAAGCATGTCTGCATTCAATCTCATTTCAGGTGATGTCCAATTTTTTCAAGAGAGTACCAGTGTGTTGATGAACATCTGGGCAAATTTGAAAGACGCAGCTGGTATGTTTTTATGTTTTACTTTCACAATTTTTTTTTTATTTCCTTACTTCTTTCTCTCATTTTATATAAATTCAAATAAGTTTCACAAAATGTTGTTATATATTTTAATTGTATTTATTTATTTATTCATTCATTTATTTATTTATTTCTAGGAGACTTGGATGTTCCTGCGCATTTAAAGGAAAAAGAGAAGAGCTCTTTAATGATCAGTGATCTTTTGCCTTTGGAAAACCCGCAAACTCTTATGCTTATAGTGACACATTATCTTGCCAAAATGCAAAATGACTGCATCAACACTGCCAGAATTCAGCAAAGCAAGTAAGTGTTTCACCTTTTTCCAAATTTGTTCTTCTTTTCCCACCAGCTTATTTTAAAGTTGTTGGAAATATATATAAAACATCTAGCTAATCATGTTTATTTTTATTTATTTTCTTTGTCAGTCTGCAATAATACAATACTACAGAATAACTTTTTTGAGGAAAACAATATTTATGTATTATTTGCAACATTTTGAGGAACATTGGTGAGAATTTATAGCCAATAATATAGCCAAATTAGCCAAAGAACAGGGTGCATAGAGCCAATAGGTAAAATGAGCCACACTTTGTATGTAGGCATCCATACACAGAAATAACTATGTAATCACAGATTCAGGAAGAATAGTTCATTTCACCTGAAGTCTGACTGAGGTGAGCATGTGAAGAGAGTGGTGAGCTAACTAGAGCCAGAAATGCGATTTTACTTATGCCGAGTAAAATTATAATGGCTAATATATTGTCAGTCTTGCATTTTTCAGAGAAGCTGATAGACTTGGGATACCTTTACACATAATGCACAATTTTTATTTATTCACTAAGCTTAACATATTGGGGAAAAAGTAAAACATAAATTATAAAACATGCCATCATTTTTGCACAAGCCACATTTGATATTTATTTTTTTCACAATATGTGAAATTTAGCAAATGAATACAATAATGCAGAAGTGTGATCTCTGTAAAGGATGTGTACTTATTTATTGAATGAGCATTAATGTATAAATGTAATATAATAATTATTATGTCTCTGCAGAATGATTGAGTCTGAAAACCTCAAACCTTCACACATGATCACTTGTGACTTAGAGGAAGATTTCCTTCCTATTGCCATATCAAATATTGGATATGTTGTGAACGAGGATGGCACTGAGACCATTGATTACAACTTCAAAACTCTTGAAAAACAGCTGATCAGTCGCTTCATCAGTGAAAAACCTCCCATTAATCTCTCGGTAGGTTTGGAGACAAATTAAAACAGCAAAATCTGATGTGTTTGGAAGTTTACTGGTGACTTAGACACAGGGAATAGGAGGCATGAGCAGTAAATGAGTCATGAATATAATTTTATTGTGGTGTAATTACGTTGTGGTAATCTATCATATCACATTTTAGACTTTACCCATGATGGAACGTAATCCTGTGAAGACCTTGCAGTCTTTCTTCTCAAATGTAAAAGATAAGCTGGTACAACAGTCATTTTCACTCTTTTCCCATTTCTTCTATAATTGATAGTCTTTTCATATATTGTTAAATACTCTTTTTCCATCAACTGCAATTCTTTCTGTGCACATTTTCAGGAGCCTTTGAGTGTCCAGGACAAGAATTACATAATGAATGAAATGAGATTCATCAATGAAATCTCTGCTGCTCTGTCCACCCTGAAAATAGCCATTGGTTTTTTGGAATTATCGTTATCTATTAGTTCTCCAGACATGCTTCTGGTGACCTACATGAAAAATGAACTGAGAATGGAGGACAGGTCAAGGCACCTTCAGCTTCCGGTATGACAGGTTTCTAAAAATTCAACAGCCTGCCCGTGATATGTTGCCTAGTCCGGTTTTGTGTTGACAAAATAACACTGAATGCTGAAGTACATGAAACAAACAACATCATTATTACGTTTCAGGTTTTGAGGACATGCCAAATAAAGCACATCCAGTCACTCTGGGAGGTTCTTTACACCAGACGCTCAACTCTACTCACTGAAATGAACCAAGTATGTGTCACATGGAAAAAATTAGAAATTGAATTTAAATTTTTAAATTTTACATACAAGTAACATCGTCCTTCATAATACAACAAACATGATTGTATAAAGGAGGCACTTGACCAGTCTCAAGAACAGTGTACATGTTCTACTTATATCAAGACCAAGACAAGACCAAGTAAAAATACTGTTGAGACCAAGATCATTGGTTCTGCAACTTAGAGTACTACAACTACAGAATATATATCAAATGTATATTTAATTAATTAAATAACTATGTATGTACGTTTGGGGTTAAAAAAAGCAATTGCTACACAATATTGCTCATGTTTGTATGTGCATTTTCTATATTAGGAGCCATTCTACATGATCAAGCCAGCTTTCCATGAGAGTTTCAATGAGGAGCAAAAAAACAATGTCAATTCTGCTCTGGCCAGAATTAGAAACCTGGACCTCTTCATCATTGAACTGCATGATGTCATCATGAATATCGACACCAAAGGAATTAAACCTATCTGGGAGTAAGGACTATTTTAATTGCTTCCATTATATGTACAAAAGTTGACCAAATGCTAAAATGGGTAATCAGGGGAGTTGGAAAAATGTGTGGTTTGGTAGCTTTGGGTTACTGGGTTTATTTATAAATACAATATAATATAAATACAACACAGAAAAAAGCTTATTATAATTGGTCAGCTAATGACTCTCTTAGGGTAGTCAATAGTTCAAACCTGATACTTGTTGTGAATCCGGTGCTGGTTGACACAGCAGGCAGTCTTCTACAGAGTGCATTACTTTTTGCAGTGCTTGTGAACCATATAAAGATGGAAAGCAGTGGCAAAAAGCAAAATAAATAATAAATAAATAATAACACATATACATACATATATACATAGGTTTGTGCAAGAAAAAATAACAACTGGATGCAATTAAATGCTCTGAAATATCAAAAATATATCCAAAAAGGTGGGCAATGAGAAATTCTGACAGGTACTTAGTTTGTGTCATTCTTGTTAACTCTCTTGATTATGTTGCAATTCAGCTAAACTTGCTCCAGTAAACACTTTGGTTTCCTCATTATAGCAAATAAATAAGTCAATCTGAATTTGAACTTGGTGGTTAACGAGTATTTCTCTGTGAAGTTACCAGGCATCAGTTAGAGAGGTATAAAGCCTCCCAGTATTGCTCTGTGGAGCAGTGGAACTGCGTTCTCTGGAGTGAAGTAGCTCCATCCAGTACTTTTGGGATTGTTGGAGTCATCCAGAACTAAGTATCCAATATTAGTACTTGACCTCACTAATGTTCTTGTGGCTGAATGCAGTCAAATCCTCACACCGATGCTCCAACAGTGTACAGCCTTCCCAGAAGAGTAGTAGCTGTTACTGCAGCAACAGGGCGGACAAACTCAGTTGAAGGAATCTACAGTCTACAGTTTTGGACATCTTTCATGGTTTAATGAAGTACAAAGTGATATTCTTCAATGTCACATCATTTAAGTTCCTACCACCTGACCCCATTTCTGCAAAGCACAGATCAATTTTCAAAGGATTGTATTTCATCTTATTGCATCTACTAAATATAAGATTTCTTATTTATACACATTCATTGAAATACATTGGAATAGGGTACTTTGGTGGAAAGCTGCAATTTTTGTTTTTTTCTAACATTTATTCATATGCTCTGCTTTGTTTTACTAGGATCAGAGGTACTTTTGAAACGTTCCTTCTATATGAAAAGCTGCAGGGGTGAAGACTATGTTAACAGCCTTTTGGAGCACCTGGGAGAAGACCTGGAGATGAAATATGTGGTTTCCTTGTGGAAGTTTGCTGTGCAAAGAAGAGTACAAAACATCTAAATGTCTCCATCTATGTAAACTCATAGAAAGGAAACTAAAAAGAATTCCACCTGAATTTGGACGTGCAAAGTGAAATTTTACCTCTAAAGGCAAAGGCAAATTTCTTTAAAAACTCACCGTATCTTGATTTTAGTGATGTGCTCAACCTTTGAGTTAGCTTAGAAAGAAATGTACTTTATGTGGGTTAAAAATCCAAGTCGCCAAACATTTATGGTTTTAAGCAACAAGTTTTTTAAGCTTAAGTAATGTCAACAGAGTAAATATTATATTTGAGACAATAAACTCAGAACTCTATAAATGAAATCTAAATGAGTTAAGGTTACATAGGTTATTGGTTACCAAATTATATAATTGCTGATTTTACTCATCTAAACATCCAAGTGTCACAGATCATTTAATATAGGCTGTACAATCTTGATCGCAATGGCCAAATATGCATGATCATAAGAACATTTACTTTGTCTTTTGTTAATCATTTACCTGTTTCATTTTGTTAAACATTTATCCTTTTTTGTTTTTTAATCATTTATCTCTTTCATTTTCTTAATCATTTATCTCTTTCATTTTCTTAATCATTTATCTTTTTTCGTTTTGTTAATCATTTACCTATTTTGTTTTGTTAATCATTTCATTCTTTCAGCTTTGTCCTTTCTTCAATTATATATCAAATCTGGGGACAAATACATTGTCACTTCATGTATGGTTTCTTTTTAATCATATATTGATTATATGTCTAGATGATATATCTGAAGTTCACTTTGCCATTTCTGACTTTTCATGGTTCATTGATGTTAGAAGTAGATGTAGGAGTAGGTTATACTTGGCGTATGGTTTGTTAAAGTCAGGCTTTGATGTAGCTATAGATGCTATTTGCACCTACTCCCTTTGTGACTATATCTACTAGATTCAATGGTATCACTTATTGTAGAATCTCAGCAGAGCTCTCTGTAGTCAACATACTAATCCAGTTTCCAGGGTAATATCCAATTTGTCTTCTTGTATCACCTTAGAATCTGTAGTTTGCTCAAAAATAAAACACTTAAGTCATTTAAAGTTTGGCCTGTGTCTGATTTTATATATATTTGTTTGCTCATCTTTCATACTTCATGCTGTCGCCTCACAGCAAGAAAGGCCTGGGTTTGATTCCCCGGCCAGGCGACCAGGGTTCTTTCTGTGTGGAGTTTGCATGTTTCTCCCTGTGTCTGCGTGGGTTTCCTCTGGGTGCTCCGGTTTCCTCCCACAGGCCAAAGACGTGCAGTCAGGCCAATTAGACATGTTAAATTGCCCCTAGGTGTGAGTGAATGTGTGTGTCTGCCCTGTGATGGATTCGTGACCTGTCCAGGGTGTATCCTGCCTTCCACCCGATGACTGCTGGGATAGGCTCCAGCTCCCCCTGCGACCCAGAAGGATAAGCGGCTTAGAAGATGTGTGTGTGTGTGTGTGTGTGGTTTCACAATTTGTATGAATCTTAGAAAACTTAAATCATCACCAATGGTACAGTATGCAAAAGTTTGAGCAAAAGAAGTAAGCACAATTTCTACAGCTAACTATTAAAAAAAACAACTTTAACTAACTCAACAAATTTGCAGTCACTCTCCGGTGTTTTATTATATCAGTTGATTTTAACTAACTCAATAAACAACTTTAACTAACTTAAGAACCAATGGCTCCTCTCAGAGGCTGACTGAAGATCTGAATGGGGATTTTTGAAAGTAGGGAAAGGATGTGAAAAGACATCAAAGCACTTCTAGATCATTTCAAGGTAAAATGGGTTGGGACTGGCAAAAAAATCGTGTTTTTGATTGCTATGGTATCCAAGATGGTTTTTAAGGTGTTGCCAGGTGTTTGCTCTGGTATCACAGGTGATAGCTATTTTTTTTTTATTTAAATTTATTCAAAATCTGATTATTTCAGGAAAAGATGTGGAAATGACGTTTGATCATGAACTCTTTAAAAGTTGGGAGGATTTATTGGAGGAGACTAAAAGAAACATCAACCATTTTACTGGTGAGTAAAATGTAGAGATGGCGCTGATCTGATTCTGCATATCTGTATTTGTAATCAAACACACATTTTAACAACTTTAATCATTTAAATATTAGTTACAAAGTCTTTGTTCCAAGTAAGATATTGGAGATGAGCTTTGTTGCTGATTCCTCTGATTTTTTCTACTAGCTGAAATAGAAGCATTGAAGACTGACTTTCCTGTAAATGAAGACAAAACAAATCAACAAAAAGAGAAACACCAGGAGAGGAACATGCGGGAAGGGTCGAAGAATAACTTCTAAAAGAGACCAAGAAGAGAGGAAGAGTGACGTTGATGAAGAGGAGAACAGCACCAGAACATCAGCAGACAGAGGCATCTGAGTGGGAGCTGTAGGTCAGTGGAGACACCAGCAAGGATTTGGAAAGACAAGAACACAGTCAGAGAACTCAGGAACCTGTGAAAGAGCACCTGAAACTGATCCTCATCAGCAGAGGAGGACACAGAGAAAGGAGGAGAGGAGAGAGTTGCGCCATTGGACAGTAGAACATCTTCAGAAGACTCTACAAGCCGCTCCTCAGGAAAAGAGTGCTCCACAGAGAGACAGCAGAAAGAACGGAGAACGTCTTAGAGTAAGAACCACTGAAATCAGGCAGAAGATCCATCCTAGACCAGCAGACAAGCAGAGAGACAGAGGACCCAGTTCAGTTGAGTATGGCTGGAGAGGAGCTGCCCAGTGCAGGCAGAGAGAGTCCAGATTCCAGAGGAGAGATGCTCCACAAACGCCTTCACACAATGGAGGACATGTGAGTGAAAGAGGAACGAGAGGATCTCCCGCTCAGTGTACTCCTGCACGTAGTGAGAGAAACGAATGGACCTTGAGAAAACTGCACTGGTGGCAGCATGATGACCGCTCTGTAGACCCTGATAAAAGAGAGTCTGGAGAGAGACACCAGAATAAGACATGGAGAAATGGAAGCAGGCAGTGGAAGAGCAGGAGAAGAACCAATGCTTCATATTGACCAGTGAAGAAAACCTTTAGAGCAGCCTGAGAAACATCACCAAAAACACAAGCCCTTAAAAACAGCAAATTCCACTTTTATGCTACAGCCAATCAAATACATCTCTTAAACAGCCGTCCCACCAGAGAGAAATCAACATAAAAACTTTTACACCTCTAAAATGAATAAAACAAATTATTATTGAATTATTTTAAATCAGCTGTTTTACAACTTTGGCCAGGGTTAAAGGTTTAGCTGTTTAAGGCTGCTGTACTTTATGGCTGCAGGATCATCGTCACACTATTGGCTGAGCTCATGTAGTTGTAATCACTGTCAGAGAAGTGGCAATTTGCTTTTCTCTCACAGTTTCTAAAGTTTTGTTATATCCTTCAAAAGAGTTGGAATTTCCAATCATCATTAATGAGTCATCATGAGTAATCTCTGATTCTCAAGTTGTTCAATAATGTTAGGTAAATGTTACAAATCAGTCAATCAAATCAGCTGTTTCCCTCAGCTGTTCATCCTGTGGTAGAACCATTATGTGAAGTGTCCTTCACCGCTGAGATTATGTTCAGACAGAACCACAGTCTGTTACAGATGTTTGCTTTTGTTTCAACAGAGGTTCAGGACAGCAGGAACAAAGTGATAACCGTCTTTACAGTGAAGGTTTGGGATGAGCTCATCACAAAACTGTCAAGTTTATGTTAATGAGTGAGGTTTTGATTTATTTTAATCAAAGTTTAATATTAGCTCATCTTTTAGATTTGACTTTTTTTTTTTAATTGGCATATATGTGTGTGTGTGTGTGTGTGTGTGTGTATGTGTGTGTGTATATATGTGTGATATGCCATCAAGTTCTAAATGAGTTTATGTTTTTCATGAAATGGAAAGATGTCTTAGTTTTCATCAACGTATGTGTTCTATGTTCTGTTGTGAATAAAATATGGGTCTGTGAGATTTGCACATCATTGCATTCAGTTTTTATTTACTTTTATTTACATTTTAAACAGCGTCCCCACTTTTCAGGAATTGGGGTTGTATTTTCTCTCTGTTGGCAGAGAAAAATACTGTTATAAAATGAATGAAAATGAATTGGAGATCAAAACACATTTTCTGTATTTACCATGATGCATTTCCAAATGACATATGTATCAGTGAGGGTCTCTGACCTAGCTGAGTGTTTTTCTCACAGATGTCAATTTAAGCACTTAAGCACTGCTTAAAAAAGCCACCATTTTGTCGCTACAAATTGTTTTTTAGTTGTGGTATCATTTAATATTCCCCATTCCAACGTACGCCATGTCAGTCATGTCAATGGGCGTCTTTCAAAGCTGGCATTTTTGGCCACACTGAGCAACAAAAAATACAGGACAGTGAAGATAAATTGGTGCTGACGCTACAGATGCTGCAGCACCCTTCACGCTAAAGCATGTAAAGTGTCCACTTACCACAGGAATGTTGGCCCAAAAATGTGACATAACTAAAACCAGGCAGCTGAGTTGTGCTAAGGTGGGGAAAAATATTACTGATAGCCTAAGAAGCTAAAGGCTTTAGCTGTAGGCTAAAACATACTGCCATGGCAGGCATGAAAAATGTTGGTTCATTTATGTCTTACTGTTGATGATTTGCTGCACTGAATCAGTGTTAACCTTTTGCTTCACAAAGCCCATTTCAGCTGTTGTAATAGAAGAGTAAGTACTCTGACTGTCTGATGACTTTTTGTTTTGTTTTGTGTTTGGCTTTAAATTGGCATAAATTGACAAACTCCTTGGGATGGAATCTCACTTTTAAACTTCACAAGTTACATCTTTCAGCCACAACTGGAAATTCAAATTCTGGTGCAGTGATAACAAACTGAAGGCTTGAGGTAATGGCTGATAGCAGTGGATCCTATGTAGTGCTTGGAGGCCTGAGAGAAAAAAGACAAAAAAAAGAGAAAGACAAAAAAAAGAGCTTGGTGGAGAGCGTAATCATTTGACTGGCCATTATGCAGTGACAGCACTCACAGAAAACAAATCAAACTTCATTGTCTTAAAAAAAATCTGCTTAATAATTTTTTTTTTCCATTTTGAGGTAAAAGTACTTGGCTATGGACATCAGTCTGGTCAGTCTGGTTTTGACAGTTGTGCCAACAACTGTTCGGCACCTGAGAACAAATTCTACCACACATATTTGTATTTTCCTGCATTTATTACAGAGATCATTAGTGTTACTCTTACAGAAACATAGAGCACATAGTGGTTAAGGGATTTGAATCTGCTGAGCTGGTGTCTTCCTCTCCATGAACACTTTCAAATGCACTTTCATTGTTCTTTCTTCTGTTGCCCTGATGTTAACTGGGGTTCCAGAAAGTAACTTTCATGAGTACTGACAGCAGTTTCTCTAATTACCAAAAGCCTTGTGTAGTCAGTCATAACTGGTCACAACTGGAATGTGGTTTTATGACAGCAAAATAAGAGCAAAACTTATGAGAAGAATCATGTTTCTTGTAT